GGGTTTGCTTGATAAGTGATTTCGTTTATGGAACGATATCTGACTATATACTTCACAAAGCTCAGAAATAGAAGAATAAGAACTCTTTATATTTTTATTTATTAATTTTTTTTTGATTTTTCTTGAAATAAAAAGAGAAATAATTGCCTTTCCCCGGCAACGGCGCCAAATTTGACGTGCACTTTGTCGTAGTGTGCACTCAAAATAATAATCAATACGAGACTAATACGTAGTATAGTGTAGTAAGGTTCGTATCTACAGGGAAAGGAACACTTCTCTTTTTATAGAATTAGAAATAAGTAACAAGGGGGGTTTTTATGATTGGTTTATGAACTTAAATTATATTTAAACACAAAGATGAACGAGTTATGTGGTTTAATTAATGAGAAGAAGACTTGGCTTTGCTTTTATCCACTTAATGAAATGTTCGCCGATCCCGGTTATATCTTTAATTATCTTCCTCTCGAATACTCAATCGAGGAGTATATCCAGTTCATCGAGGGTAGTTATTAATAACGAGATGCGTTCATTAATAAAACCTACTACCGAATTAATATAGAGCACGCGCCATATATTCACTCGATAGTAGCAATAAAATAGAGATGAAAACGATTGAGATTGATAACCTCAACACAAGCGGTTTATCGGTTTAATCAATATAATTAATTCCCCTTAGGTTATTAACCATGAGACGCATGCATTAACAACCCAAGTTTACTATCGTGAAAGGATCGAATTAATAACAAGCGTATTAATCGACCGATTCTAGTATTAATTAATATATGAAACAAAACTAGTTGATCCTTTAAGTAATGCTCAAAATATTAATATGTAATAGGAATATGAATTAGTTAATATTCAAGGAAGAAGATTAAAGAAAATAACTCACAACTTACAATTCATTAAGCTTCAAAGTAGCAAAACCAAGATGGAAGAGTTTAGCTCCTCATTTGGAGACTAAACATGAAGAAAATATAAAGAAACAACTTGTCTAAACTGAGCTTAGAAGTATATAGGAATTGGTGATCTTTTGTGGGAAGGAAAGGGGTCTATTTATAGGGAAATAGAGCATGCAGGGTTGTGTACCCGATCGGGTATAGAAGGCTCCCGATCGGGTACACTCAGCGGCTTCCGAGAAGGTGAAAAATAGGGTCATACCCGATCGGGCCTGTCGGTCACCTGATCGGGTATGACAATCGAACATGGTCAAAATCTTTCCCGCATGATGCCTTGTTCCCGGATTTGATTTGTTTCGATTTTTCAGAAGGGTACCCGACCGGGTATAGGTCATACCCGACCGGGTACAGACCAAAAACGAGATCTTCACTTTTTTTCTTGTATTTTTGCACCATCCTTCCACTTGTGATGTTCACCAATGGTCCTCAAAGTGTTCTTGGACCTGTTTGAGCTCAGAATAAACCTAATCTAAACAAATTACAAATATTTTACAAACTAAACTATTACACCAAAAGTGTGTAATTTCCAAAGTGACAATCACTCTAACTAATTAAAAACTCAAACATACATATGGAAATTACATGAATGTTAAGTGCCAAATTGGTTAGATAGCACTCAGGGAGGGCTATTATTCATGGAGGATTCACGGACACAGAAGGGTAGTTGGTGTTTGCTAATGACATACGAGAAGTGTGGGGTTATGAAAATAACTTTTTTATTTGTATTCCAATTTTTATAAAAGTTATATCAAAATTTCTAACTTTTTATTATCTTTCATATGACATTAATATTATATATAAAGTTAAAAAAAACAAAGTTTCATCAGTTGGAGATTTTTTGTGCAAAAAATTTGTTAAGTAGATTCAAGCGCTAAAATTGAAATCTCATGGTTAAAATAATTTTTTACATCTTTCTTTTATTTATTTTCAAAAATAGGTATATAAATTAAAAACAAAAAATATGAACTCCAAAAATGATGTATCCTAATAAAATGAAGGCTTTTAATTAAGAAAAACTTTGATGAGTGAATATATTGATGGTGCTGGATTGCAATAAAAAATTGATTGAATGAATATGTATAAATTGGTGAAAAATTTGATTTAGGGAAAAGTACAGAAAAGGTACCTGTGGTTTGGACCATTTTCAGATAGGGGCACATGTTTCATTTTTTAACAAAGTGGGACATATGCTTCAATTCCGTTATCACAGCAGGGGCATGATGTCTAATGCTGTTAGAAAATTTAACCCCGATTTTCAAAAGTCTTTGAAACATTAAAAGAAAAATATTGGGAAGTGCGCCTTGTCAAGGAGACCAACAAACTATCGTTCTCTTTGAATTTTCGGCTCTATTTGGATTATTTTTTAAAAATGAATGTGTTAATATCACTTTTCCGGCGGATGTTTTGGCGACATGGTTGCTGGAAACAAAAAAAAAAGATGGTTTGTTGGTCTCCTAGACGAGGCGCACCTCCCAGTATTTTTCTTTTAATGTTTCGAAGTCTTTTGAAAATCGGGATTAGATTTTCTAACGGCGTTAAACGACATGCCCCTGCTGTGATAACAGAATTGAAACACATGTCCCACTTTGTTTAAAAATGGAACATGTGCCCCTATCTGAAAACGGCCCAAACCACAGATACCTTTTCTGTGCTTTTCCCTTTGATTTATTGATGGAACTGGGTTGCGGTTAGCGTAACAATCTGTACTATATGTTCCATATTCTGTATTAAATACCAACATTCTTGATTTTGAATGTGTTTCTACATTGTGACTTATTAATTGAGAGTGTTATAATTAAGTCATTGAATCATAATGTGGTTTGACACCTATTTTACCATTAAAAAGTTTAATGTGGTTATCTTTGATTATGGCATAGGAGGGCATATTTCATACTACTTCGTACTTGGTATAAATGTAAACCACTATTAATCCCTTTTCCATAACTTGCTCATCACTGTAAAGTAAAGCGGAGCTAATAAAATTAATACTACCTCCGTCCCTAAATGTTCTTCCAATTGCGGTTACGAAGTTTGACCAACGATAAAGTTAAATGAACTCTTTGAAAACTAAGATTATTTTTAGTAAATAAAATTTACATATTCAAAAACTACATTAAACCCGCTACAAAGCCTACAAAAAAATTCAATTTTCATAAAGTTTTGATATATAAAGTAAGAGTTTAAGTCCATGTTTGGTAGACATAAGTCTATGCCTTCTAGCTTTTGTAGTGTTCAAAAAGTTTCTAAAAGCTTTTAGTTATATGTTTGGCACGACAGATTTTAAGAGCTTTTCAAAAAATAAAAGATCTTTTTTGAGATTCTACGGGAGTAGCATCTGAGAAAAGACCGTGACTTTTAGTATTAATTTGTCCTAACAGCTTGTATACCAAACAGAGCTAAATCAAAAAGTCGGGTTTTTACCAAACAGCTGTCACCTTTTCTTTTTAAGATCTTTTCAGTTACTAAAAGCTAATAGTTCCTAAAAAGCTTACAAAAGTATATTTTCAGCTAGTCGTGCCAAAAATACCCTAAGAGTGATTTAAGTTGACTCTCGGAAAGCGAAATGGAAGTTCTTTTAGGGACGGAGGGAGTAATATCATCAGAAAGTTACATGAAATGGTGAAAGCCTTGTCTGCCGCTTATTTGGACGTTTCAGTACGTTTTGATAGAGAGATATTACACGAAATAGGACTAAAAAGGTTTGATAATTCCAAAAATAGGACTGACATGTTTTTATTCCCAAAATAGGACCAATTACTGCCATGTTTTGGCAATACCAGACTTCAAACATGGCAGTATTTTCCAAATTTGACAGTTATTACTCCTATTTTGGGAATAAAAAACATGGCGGTCCTATTTTGGAATTTCCAAATTGTTTTAATCCTATTTCGGGAACTTTCCCTTTGATAGATGGGTGTAAAACATAATTAGTGGAGTCATTCATTCATTTAATGCAAAAAAAACTGTAACTATGAGGAGGCTATACGTAGTACGTACTGTCACTAGAATATATGGATAGAGTATGAAGTACTATTCTGAACCGACACGAAATTAAAAATGATCTTTGTTTAGACAAGAAATGTATGTTGCAAACAAAACCAATGCTAGCGGAGAAATATTGTTTTGGCATTTCATGTCCAGATCGAGTTTAATTTGTCGCCCACTCGCCCCAGCCTTCACTTCCAGTTGGTCTCTGCCATTTATTCTAATAAGCAACTCCTTATGGATATCGACAGCTCAATCACCCTATGTAGCACCGATACCGGTACGCGGAAACGCGGAAACGCGGAAACGGGTACGGGGATACGTCAAAACCAATAAAAGTAGGATACGGATACGGGGCCATATTTATAAATATTAAAAGTTATGGGGGTGTATTTACAAATATTAAAAGTTATAGGGGTCTATTTATAAATATTAAAAATAGATTTTTTTTGAATATATATATATATATATATATACATATAATATCCTATGATGTCTACCCATTCATTGCATTGAAGCATTTTCCTTTTTCAAGATACTTAGTAATAAATTCATAATATTTCTCATATACACTAGTGTATATCGAAATATAAATGTAGTCAATAAGTCATTAATTTAAAATGTGAAATAAGTCAAACAACTACAATCTTGAAATTAAAAGTGCAAGTACCCACTTCGGAGTATGAGTTAATGACTTAATTCGGATATAGCCATATAGGCCTATTATTTGATTACCAAGTAAAATGTAGTTTTAGATTTTCATTTTTTTTTTTTTGGAATTTTATTAAGTAAATTTTGGGATTTTTTTTTTTAAAAATGGTTGATACGGGTATCCGTCAGGATACGAGTATCGGAAACTTTCAAAAAATTACAAACAAAAATGGAAACTTTTAAAAATTGCAGATACGGCCCGGGAACGTACGGTACGGGTATCCTAGAGTATCGGATACGGGAACGTATCCGATACGCCGATACGCTACCCTAGGGAAGTATCCGTGCTTCATAGCAATCACCAGTTAACGCGCAACATTTTTGGTCATATAATTTATACCAAGTATGTTTAATGTTATCAAAAGAGCATCATTTTTATTATGTCAGTGTCACAAATATATAGGTGAAACACCTAAGTATAACAATGTTAAGTTGTACTCTCTCTGTCCTTAATAAAACTTCCATAGTACAAATGGCACGAGAATTAAGATAGTAAGTATTGTGTAGCGGAGAGTTGTGTAGAGGAGATAAATGTGTAAGAAATGTTGTTTACAAATTCTTTAGCAAAAAAGAAAAGTGGAAATTTAATTGGGACAGACGATAAAGGAAAGTTGGAAGTTTTTCCAGGGACGGAGAAAGTATATACTTGTCATCTATGAAAACCCAAATTTGTCCTTGTATAACTAACACCCCAACAGCAGAGAAAGCTACCAAAACTGAAGCATATCATCAGCAGAATTTGGCAGACTTGAGGGAGAGAGGGTACTTGAATGTGTTTGAGTAGGTGAAGCGGATTAACTGGTTGGCCTTCATAGCCTTTCCTCCATTGACCAAGCAATCATCATAAGACAGCCTCTTAAATGCATTTGGGTTCACTAATCTAGCAGAGGCAAACCAGCCACAGTGGAGGTGGATGTTGGATGGGGCACAACCAGATGATGATGTGCATGTGTTCAGTATCTCTACTACATATTGTGGGATCCCTGTTGTTGAATATGTGCTTTGTGAAATGCTCAAATCCTTTGGTGTACACTCCCCTATATTAAAAAACAAGGTGAATTTCAATACAACTTAGATTGAATATATGTTAACTTTTAAAGTTCTTGGGTTTCTACTTTTGATATCAAAGTTTGGCCATTAGTATGGAAGTACATTTGTAAATTTTTTTAGGTGTGTTCCGCATAAAGGTAATCTTTTAATAGTGTTCTGTATCAGGGTTATAAATGTTGTACTCTCTTCATCCCATTTTAGTTAGCCAAACTTGACTTTTCAAGTCAATGGTGTCTGACTTTGACCGGATATACGGAAGTATTGGTAATACGGAGTAAGAAAATTATAAGAAAATGTTCTTTGTAAAAAATACTACGGAGTACTACGTATCATAAAACTATAAATTGTTAAATTTTGCAAAAATATACTAGTATTAGTTAAAATAATTGGTCAAAGTTTATCATTTTTTACTATAAAAGTCAAAGATGGCTAACTGGGACGGAGGTAGTATATGAAGAAAAATATAATCATTTGTGTACTCATCATGTTAATTTTGATAAGTGACAACAAAATCCTGAGAATTAACTTTTTATGGGTTCCTCAGGTTAGTACTTCGTCTTAGTTTTCAGAAAATTAAACTGAATGAGACCTTGGTATGAAATTTCAAATAACAGTGTATTACACTTCGTAAATTTTATAAATACTATGTACTAACGTATTTCTAAATAATAATGGTCAAAGATGGATATTGATTATTGAGGACCCTAATCATAAAAGCAAGATTTTTAAGTAGGGACAAATGGCAAACATTTGATCTGCTCCTGAGAATCATAACTTTTGACTTATTTGGCTTTCAAACACTTATTCTTTTGAAAATGTTAACAAATTCAGTTCAAATAGTTCTTACAATTTTACAAAACTCGCTCCAAGTTATATACTTGTACAATGTACACTATAAGTCTATAAGTCCACAATTTTACCACGTGGAAGGATTTTTCTGTTGCTAAAATTTGGATTCTGCTGCTTCATATTTGTGGTGATGTTTCTATCTCCACTAGCTTCATGTAAACCTGTAAGAGAAGAGTTGCAATGGACTGTAAATCTACCATAAAAACAGAAGAGGAAGAAGGCGATAAGCAATATCATTACCTATCTTGGTCCACTCATGTCCAGAATCAGAGACTGCAATGATACTATGCAAAGAGAAACAAAAGAGGATAGCAAGAAACTGGCCCATCATCATAGACTAGTAGTCTACTTGCTCTTGAGTGAAGTACAAAGGAAGCACTTATATCCAACCTGTTATAATAGAACAGAAAGATTTTGGTGAAATTCCAGAGGTAGAGAAGTGTGGAAGTACAAACAAAAAGAGGCATTAAAGGCACAAGCCAAAAGTTTTTACATGCAGATTGCTTAGACTCTGGTCCATTAAAATCCTGTATACGTATACCTCAAAAGAACTATATGTATAAAATTAATGAAAGACAGCAATTTATTGCATGAACCCACGCGTGAGGTCATTTACTCTGGATCTTCATTTCCTTGTTTCAACAGCAAACTACTTTCAGATGTCATACATGAGTACCATATAAATTTGGGTCAATTTCGGAATCATAATACATTTTCCCCAAGCATTGTTTACCAAAACAGCGACCACTCAGGGGTTGAAGCCTGCATTCCAAAAGGGGGAAACTGCAAAAGCAGTTTACCTCAGAACTATCTTTAGGATTGAAGTGTCTCCAGTAAATTCATTTCTAACCTATAGATATATAGATTAGAGATATATACTACGTATATATCACACATTAACAAAAAAAAACGACATTAGATATTACAGAATGCGGAAGAATCACATTTAGAATAAAAATAGGGACCCTAAAAATCTCATTTTTATGAGTCGATGTTATAGACTTATAGTAGCAAACGATTACGCTGGCGATTTTCGAGACAGCTTCATAATTCAAAGAGAAATGCTCGAATGCATATAATCTGATAAGGGTACTTTAAATTTATTATTATGATGCGAAGAAACACAGGAATTATATACGTACATGAACAAGCACAAGGTCGTAACAAGTTGGATATGGAATGCGTAAAATGTTTGTTGAAGATTGTAGAGTATAAAGGCTTGCTTACTCCGGTGACAAGTTGCCGGCGATCGTGGACGTCTGGACGACGGCAGCTAAGCTACGTACGCTGGAAACAAAGCTTTCCGGCTAGAAAGGGGAAGAGAACATATACTGTACGTAGTATGGAGTTTGAAAATATAGGAAAAGAACTTTGACATGATTGGCTCAATTTTCTCAAATTAATGTCACACATTTGTGCTGTATAAGGAAACTTAACGTTTCTATATATCACAACAAACACATACAGAGTATATTAATTAATGAAATGACAGCCATATTATAACCATTTATTCATAAAAATAATGTCTGATGTCAGTTTTACTTCTGTATAGATCATTTTTAAAAAAAATCAACTCATTTAGTAAAAAAATAGCATTGTAGAAATCAAATGTGAAATGAAGATGGAAAATTATTTAGATGCATCGTATATGAGTTACAGTTTCTAATCTATTGAGCTTTCAATTTTCAACATTATACGTAGTATGTAATAATATTTAAAATCAACATATATGTGAATTTCTTTTGTCCATTTTAAAAAAACTTGATCTTGAGCTATTGATTTTATAACTTGAACTGCCCGCACTTGTGATTTTTTTGACAGAATATATCAATGAAGAAAATTATACAAAAGAAAATAATGAAATAAAAAACCTACGTACAAGCATAATGAGACAAATTTAACAATGTTATTTTTAAAATAAATTTATTGCTCCTTTAATTTCGTCCTATTTTTCAATATCTTACTTTCCTTTTTTGGGTTATACCAAAGTAAGTATCATACGTAGTATTACTTCTTTGGATAAAAATAAGTAATCCGTCCATTTTACCTCATTATACTCAAATTTCAATCACAATTTTTATTTTTCAATAATCACTTTATTAATAATTGTGTCAAATCAAAACTAGACGGATGTAGTAATACATCAATATATAAAATGTAGTCAAAATAGAAGATTTGAATAGTGAATAGTGTAAAATTCATTCGCACTTACGTATTACTCTCCTTCCATCCCGAAATTAACTTTCGGGTTTGACTTTAGGTAGGAAAAAATAAAATTTGGCTCTCCAAGAGCAGTTCGTATACCGTGGGATCATCCCACGGTGAGCACCGTGCTCCAAGTTCATAACGACGTAGTTTTAATCAATTTTAAAAGAAAAATTTGCGTGAACAGTAAACACGTGAACAATACTTTTTTTCCTTTTTCCGGACTTCCAGTAGCATAATGATGTAACACACGTGTAACAAAATGTAACTTCACGTTATTGATGAATGTAACTCAAGTCTATTCGAAATGTAACTTGTCTAAGACATAATATATAAAATAAAATATTGATTTCAATGGGAAAAAAGAGTCTAATGGCCCAAATATTTTACATAAATAGTGTATATGTTTTGTTTTTAATGTCAGGACTATAAAAATAATTTTTTTAAAAAAATAATATTTATTTGAATAGCAGGGGCTTATTGGGTTGCGTAACTCGCATTATATTGTAATGTAACACACATTTTGAAAAATGTAAATCAAGTGTAAACATGATGTAACTTGTTAAGAAAAGTTGACATGTAACTCACGATATAAGATATGTACCTTTAGGCAAATTCTTATATAATTGCATGTATTCTCAAATGTAATTTGAGTCAAATCAAAATATAAATTATCTAATACTGTTTAATATTTTTTTTTTCAAGGTCAATAAACAATCATCCATTTTTAACAATCATCAAACAATTTTTTCAAAAAAAAATTAAACAATCAACCAATCATCAATTCTCCAATAGTGGAGCATAGGAGAAGCTGCTGCTAAACCTAAAGTCAGAAGGGATGGGAGAGCATATTTTCTCAGCAGTAGCTTTCTAATCGGTGAATGATGAGGAGCTAACCAGGCCAGAGTTCACACAGTCACGCTTCTTCTTCTGCGGCAGCTATTTGCTCTCTCGCGCTCTGCTCTCTTTTTAATGAAAAAGCTTGGTTTTGGATTGACACACTATGCTCATGGTGGGCCGATCCCACGGTATAAATTGCCCTCCAAGAGTATCTTTTCATAGTAATGTGAAGGTGTCATGAAAGAGTATAAGGCCTATCATCATTGGTTTGACTCAGTCATCGTGATTTACATCTTTCATATGCTTTGTTGGGTCATAGCATAGAAGGCCCTTGAGATTGAGGATTCAACCTTCTACTCGCACATGTAGCTCAATTGGTTAAATTGTGTGAAAATTGGAGGAGTGGAGCAGGGGTTAGGTGAATAGTAAAAAAAAAGTATCTCAAAGTAAAAACTTCACAAAAGTAAAAATAATGTTTTTATTGGAAGAAGTGTTAAATGAGAAAATAATTTCAAAAATGTTATTGTTATACACTTTTCATAAACACACTTACACACATGTGTCTGTGTAGAAATTTTTTTATACAAACACAATAACGTATTTAAAAATATGTTGTGTGTCTTTACTTACAAAAGGCTGGATTGAAATAATTTGGGGAAGGAGAGTATTTAACGCTGTACGTGATAATTCTCACATTCCCGCCCTAACTTGGAATCCGCACACAGCAGCCGGGTGACGCACTGCGACATCGACATGGAAATCTATCCACCACTACACGAAGAAGAGGAGGATCCGTTCCTTCAATTCATCCACTATGCAAAAGCAATCTTATCACCTGTTGAAAATGAAGACGGAGGGGAACCAACGGGACCTGGTTGGAGCTGGATTGCTTCCAGAATCCTCAAAACGTGCACCTCCTACTCCAGCGGCGTCACTGCTGCCATTCTTCTCTCTGATCTTTCACAGGTCTCTCCGCTGCTTTAACCTTTCATTTTTTTTTTTCAATTTCAATTTTCTTCACTTTTTTGGTCTACAACTGTATAATGTGTATATCCATGTAACCATGTTCTTCCATGTGTGTGTCAGTGTGTGGGTGTGTGTCTCTCTATTCAAATACATAAACTGTCTTGTGTCTCTCGATTACACAGAAGCAGAATTCCTAAAATTAGGAGGCTTCATGTATATTTTTTGGCACGATTAATGCATTCTCCCTTCATCCGAAATTGTGTTGCCAAATTGTTCTGACATGAAGAGTAAGAGAGTTAAAACTATGTGATTGAAATTTGTAAATAGGAGAGAAACAATATAAATCTCAAATCTGTTTCATTAAGGGAAAAGTGACAAAACATTTTGCGATAGCTAGGGAAGTTTTCATACCTGTGACGGAGCTAGTACACAGATCTGCTACTATTGCGTAGCTTATTAAATATCACAGGGAATTGCATATTCCTGTGTTTGAATCCATACTCTTTGCAACAATTAATGCACTTTGAATTTTATAAACTGATCAATGTATGCTTAAAATGTTTGTTGTTAAAATTCTCAAAATTACATTGAAAACTGGCTTTCTGCAAATAAAGTACTTTAACTTTGAATCTGGTCAAATTTTGGATCATTTACAGGCTTGGAATGAGCAGAGCAGGGGTGGTGCTCCAAAGAAACAACTAGAGTGTATAAGTCAATTGAGGAAGAAACATAAGAGGGGGAAGCTACAGAACACTGTGACTATAGACTCTATCTATGAGAAGAAGTTCTTGTCACTGAGTAGCGTTATTGAAGCTGTTATCATAGATGTTGTTATTCTTCCAGGTAGAGAAGTCTGAATATAAAATTAATATTCTGTTGAGTATCTTATGTTCTTGATACGATCCACTGCCTCCACATTTCAGAGTTCATTTTATATTAGATGTTGTTCAGTGTCAATTGCACTTTCCGAATCATTTATGGCCCGTAATCATTTGAGGCGTCCTTGAAATATTTTCATCATTTATTTTAGAATGTAAAGTGTAAAGTCACAGTCTGCAGATGAGAGTTTCAAGCTTGTCATCAAATGGAATAGTTTTTGTTATTCCAAAAATGGCATCATTTTAAAAAATATTTGATGTATCTTAAAAAATCAGTCCATGTCACAGTTTCATGAGGCAGTGGTGCTTCAGTTTTCAATTTTGTCTCAAGATGCATTATCAATCATTGTTGACATACTAGCTTCCTCCCAGGAACAAATATCTACATGCTTCATCTGGGGGATTTTTGGAGCTCTAATACAATTGATTTGTATCTCCACCGGAGGTGAGTGAAAGTTATGATTCATGACAGTTGCTCAATCTGATATTTCACATCGATATGCTTTATGTTTTATATCTTCAATCACATGTAGTGGATTTAGTGTCAAATAACCTTCTGTCTAGTTTTTAATTAACCTCGTGTCTAGTGGCTTTACTTTTGCTTCTTTCAATTTTTTTTATGTGTACTCTATTTAAACTTTTGACTTTTTTAAAAGGTTGAGTAGCATACTTTGTTGGCTTGGAGAGAGGAAGAAATGGCTCATGATAAGCTGATAACCATAGAGATTGCTCAGTATTACCTTATAGACATTCTATGTTAGTTGCGGCTGAAGTAGGTTAGACATGTGGTTGAAAATTTTGCTAAATCTGTACCAAATGGAGTTATTTGTTATTCTATTTTTCCACAAAGTGTCCCTTTCTTGTACATGAACAAAATTGGCAAGGCTTAAGAGTGCAGCTGAATAAAAAGTGAGATGAGTCTGTTTGGAATTCTACTTTGGCGTAAACAAATGTTCTCCTTGAATACGTTTGACCTCTTATTCAGATATCTAAGACGTACTCTAAATCAGGTTCTACAAGTTGGCGGATCCTAGAAATGGCATTTTGAAGAAGGGACGTGAAGTGTTTGTCACAGGATGCCGCCTTAGAACTACAAAAGGATTTTCGAGTGGTGCACGTCTTTTGCCCACTGAATATCTTGCTATACTTTTAGATGAGGTACTGTGGATTTTAATTTCCCATGAAAAGGGATTTCAGGTCCCACTCTATCCCCTTTATTTTGTTTGGATTGCTATACTTTTTGATGAAGTACTGTGGATTTTAGTTGCCCGTGAAAGGGAGTTCATGACCAATTATGCTCCCTTTAATTTATCTGTGGGTTGGTACTAGCATTTTGTGCATACCGGAAACCCACATAATTATACCCATACTTAAAGTTTGAACTGAAAGATCTGGTAATATACACTTCTGGATTTAATGTGTTTTGTCTTGTATTGATATTGTTCTATACTACCGGAGCTGCTAAGTCACTGTAGACCATCAATGCAGGATGAAGATGATGATGCAATAATGCTAGGTGCTCAGTTTTGTTCTGACTCCTTCTCTTCCATATGCCTTGATGAAGTTAACAATGGTGCCTCTTACTCACTGTATGCAAGGTCTGGTAATATATTTTCATTGCACTCTTTTCTCTCTGAGCTGTGCGTACTCTAGAGACTATAAACAACTGGATAGAAATGATGTCTTTATTCATTCATTAGATTAAAAAAGTTAAAGCCTCCACGGAATTGTCAATATAAAAACATGCTTCTATAGTTCTATGTATACTCATCCACTGGTCCAAAATGATTGCAGTTTTGAAATTTGCACTCAGATAAAGGAACTAATATGTCTAGAATACCCCTCATCCATAAGCAATAATTGATGCTTTGTAGATATATAAGTATTCTCTAGTGCATTGCTATTGGACTAGGGATATTAATATAAATATAATAATATGCAAAATTAAAATTAAAATTAAAGGTATTATTTTTCACAATAATCAAAATAAAAAAATTATAATACTAGTGAGCGTCGAAAGCACAATCATAATATTCTACAGTACAGTTAGGGAGTGTTTGCAATTGCTTCAACTTTAAAAAAGTGATTTTTTAAAGGGATTTTGGGAAAAGTGATTAATATTAAAAATTGGTAGTGTTTGAGAAAAAAATGATTCTGAAAAAGTAAAAGTTGGTAGTGTTTGGTAAAATAAGTACTTTTGTGTAATTGAAAAAGTGAGAAGCAGTTTAAAGCACCCTTCTACTTGCTTCCAGCTTTTAGCTTTTAAGTGATTAATTTAAGCTGAAGCTGTCATTTGAAAACACCCTTTTTCAGCTTTTTTTAAGCCAAAAGCTGAAAAATGTTTTTTTAAGCAACCCCAAACACTCCTTTAGTCCTACTTGTAGCAATAATGTTATTTGGTTTGATTTAATATACATCTATAAAATATATTTGACATGATTATCTTTTTAGAATAACTATTTAAGTATGTCACACACTTTTTCTAAAATATGAAAATAAATATTTTTATTACAAAATATTAAAAACATCATAAAAGTATTTTTACTTACACTGAAATTTTGTAGACATAATCGGTACTACAATAACAACAATAATATATTTTATATTCATTATGTATTCATTAATACTTGAAATTAGAGTTTTTAATTAACATTGTATTCTAACTTTTCAATTACCCTTAAAGAACCACATATCACGACCGGCCTATGTAGTACAGTGGATTTTGAAGCACTCCATCCCCCAAATGACGCGAGGTCGATTCCCAGCTACCTCAGCATTTTATTTTCGGCCGGTTTCTCAAGATTTTACCGGGTTTTTCCGTGTTTTGGCGGTTACGGGTCAAAGCGGGTCACTGGGTATTCGCAGGTTTAAGTGTATGTGTATTAGTGAGTTACGGATAACCAGACCAGTCTAGGTGCCGGGTCGCCCAGTCCGGTCGGTTCTTGTAACATAGGTTAACCTGTTAAGTAATTTTACACACTTATTTGGTACAAAAAATATAAATAGCCATTGGCCCAACTGGTTGAGCTTACGGTGTAGATAATGATGATGATGATGATGATGCCAATTATTTGAATCTAAAGGAGTATCTATATAAACCAATACAAACCAAACGGAGCCAGTAAGCCCTATTCGGATGTAGGGTGTAGAGAGGGTGAGATGTATGCAGATCTTCCCTCTAGCCCTAGGGATAGAAGGGTTGTTCCATGAAGACCCCTGGCTAATGGAAAATTTAGAAGTGCTGTACAAACTTGCAATATTTGAAAATTTTGGAGATCTTAGTTAAAATTTAGCAGTAGAAAAAATACATTCAAAGGAAACAGGGAGTGTGATGGTGTGAACAGTGTGAAACTAAAAAGTTGGACAAAATGGGCAAGTAAAAACACAATAAGTATAAATATATGTAACCCTGTATTTTTTAATGTTGAAAACATGTCAATATGGTCAATTTGTATGTTTCTCACGCTAAATATCCACTACCTTCAAACACAAACAGGATAGAATCTATTGGGGCATTGGAAATTCAAGGCATACATGGTAGTTTACAGAGAAAACAAATCACTCTTGTTGATAACGATGGTGTCAGGCTGAAGTTTCTACTATGGGGTGAGCAGGTCCTGTTTGCTAATCTTTTTAGGTATAATATTCGTATTCTTTTCACACATGCCTTGTGGTGTTTGTCTTGTACATTTTTTAAATTTAGCTCCTTTAACAGTGTTGGAAGTATGCTTGCCATGGAAGCACCATTTATAGCAAGTTCTGCTGAAAGTGGTCTTGATTCAAATGAAGAGCTTTGCCTTGAATATGGAAGTGCGACCCAACTCTATGTTGTCCCTCTTATTCAGCATAAGGAACAAGTATGACATGGATCATATAAGTCAGAAAACATTCAAATCATTACGTTTAAGGGAAAATGAAATAACTCTAAGGCCTTCTCAGGTGTGTGTACCGTTGACACAGAATCGTTGTGAGGGATCCAAGATGTTAATTGAATCAGATTCAGCGCAGGGAATTCCAGTTTCACAAGTGTCTTTGCCATGTGACTCTCTGGGATCCATCGACTTCAGAAATTATCCCTTCCGGGTAAATTTACTTTCCTTGATAGTTCATTCCATAGTCACATAGTTCGCGGAAAGCTTCGATACGGGAATGTGGATCTGGAACGCGGTTTGCTAGGTCTTGTGTAAGTGTGTAACCGGTTCGAAAGGGGGTAGGTTCATTTTGTTACGCGTTCGGTAGGTTGTACCTTATTTTCGGTACGTTGTACCTTATGTTTTGGCACTATAATAAAACAGAACTACAGATTTCACAACTTTAAACAAAAACAGATTTCATAACATTAAACAAAATAAAAAACATTAATATTCTAGAAAACAAAGAGGTTGCTAATGGTTCAAAGTCCTCACGCCTGTAGGAGCGTTTGAAATCTGTGCGTCTTGATATCCGTACGCCGAAAGGAAATAATGAATCTGGGGTCCAAACCGGTTCGCTGGGAAAATCGTTTGGTGCAATCGTATGCAACCAACATGAATAGCGACTCGGAACGAGTAGGGAAGCATACTATCCGGCGTTCCAGGTAGTGTTTGGAACGCTTTCGTACTGCAATTGGGTATGTAGCAGTCGGTTCAGAGATTGTGGCCTCTTATGCAATTATGTAACTATGGTCCATTCATAACATGGAAAATAGAGAAGAAAACTTGAGGGAGAGAAAGTTTGGGGATAAAATGAAATATTTATATATTTAAATTAATTATATGATCGTTAAAATTCATTTATTTCATATTAAAGACCAGAATTTAAATATATTTAGAAAATAGCCAGTGATATCAATAGTGGTGCTATAGCAGAATAGCGGTGCGGCAGACTAGGAAGGCGCTACGCAGAGGGCTCTAACGTGGCGGCCGCTATAGCGGCACGTTTTCTGGTAAAGAGGGTGCTGCGCATTCTGGGAGGGATTTTAGCGTTAAATGTTTTTAGCGCAGACATAAAAAGGATAAACTAGACTTTTAAAACAAAATCTTAAACCACTTAAAACCCTTAAACCTCTGTGTTGACTAAAAGCTCAAAACTAAGCCAGCTTTTGAAAATACTCAGTTGAACCTATCTTTGCTGCTTTGCGATGGCTTCTTCTCCAAGAACGACACATGCTGCCATCCTCTGCCTTCAATAGTATCTTCTTCTCCAACCTTTGCTGCAGAGCTGCAGTATTCTTTTCTTCTTCTTCTCGTATGGAACTAAAGAGTATTTCTAAGTAATTTAGGTGGGTGAACCATCTAGTTTCAGTAGTCTATTTGCAGACCTTTGATGTACCTTAAAGGTAATAGATGTACCTTACAGTAGTTAAAACATATGCTTCCAGTAACGCAAAGAGTTTTTTTTTTCATATGTATGAATTACATATGCTTCCAGTAGTTACTTATCTATTATATTTGAAAGTAGTCTAAATAGCGGTCATCCCGCTATCCACTATACCGCTATAGCATTTTTGAGGCTCGCCGCTACGCTCCGCTATCCGGGATTGACAACGCTGAAAATAACTAAAGACGTGAAATTATATATTTAAAATATTTATATGATCGTTAAAATTCATTTTATTTAATATTTATTTCATATTAAAGACCGGAATTTAAGTATATTTAGAAAATATATAAAGACGTGATATTTATTTTTCTTTCGATTTTAGATGGTAAAGCAAAACAAAAAAAAAGTGACTTGGCATTTGTTTTTCTACCCCGTCACTTTCCAGATTCCAAGTGGACCCTATAGGTTCCATTTTAACTTTTAAAGGGATATGTCGATATGTTATCGACGTGAAAATTTACTTTTCTACTTCCTCCACCCCAAATTGATTCGGTTTTCAAGGTTGACTGAGTGACTAACAATAAACTTAAACCCTTCTTGCAAATAATTAAATCAGCTTTAATAATTGTAATTTACATATTCAGAAACTAAATTGAAAGTTCTATAAAGTCGCAAAATCAAAATTAGAATATACTACTCCGTACGCTATAAATTTGATATCCTAAATATGTAAATAAAACAAAACAAAACAAAACAAAATTGTGTTGACCAAAGAAAGTAGGCGTTGAAAATCATTTTGGGAGGAGGGAGTACATCTTAGAATCAGTAAACATATTAAGTTAATAATATGTGGAAGAATCCTGATAACTGTTGCAGAATACTCGTTGTCAACTTCTCTAGTTCTCTTACATGTTTAAACTCTTGCAGCCATTTGTTACAGATATGCGTGACAAGATGACTGGAATCAGCCTCTATGGAGATGTTAAAGGCATCCGAAACATGGGTGACCACACATTTTCTTTAAAAATTGAAGATGCAACAGGTGCAGTTTGGGCAAGGCTACATTTTATAGGATCCTGGTAGGTAGAATATTGGTACAACTAGTATTGAAATTGCATTGTATTAATTACTTATCATATTAGATGTGTGGCGCGATATTTTGTTACATACCCCCTTCGCCTCCCAAATAAGAGTCCAATTTGACAACCCAAAGCAAGAGTCCTATTCGGAAGAAAAAATATGATTTTTATTATATGAAATGGTCCTTTTTTATATAAAAAAGTTATCCCGTACAAGTTAAGTATGATATGTTTCGTTAAACCAACACATATATTTAAGATATAGCTAGAATTGATTTCCAATATTTGTACCTTGCTAAAATATAGAAGTTTTACAATGGTGAAACATGAATCTTTCTACAGAGATGTATAATTGTATGTGTGTATGTAATTAATATTTTCCACTAAATCATTTCAGGTCAACAGGAAGGCTTAGCCTGGGGCACACTATCTTTATTTCCGGTCTGTCATGTTCTATGACCCAACAGAAAACGTGAGTGTATCCCTCAATATGTTACCCCCTCTCCCAAATTCTTTTGCAAGTGTGCTATTCATTGGTAAAAAAAATCCTTTTTATTCTCTGATTTTAAGTATTTTTATATATAATTCTCATTTAAGTTTTGCGCATGAATAGAAATTTAGTGTAATTTCTTAATATATAAATTTTAATTGTTAACACTGGTTAAAATATTATAAGAGGAGAATAGTGTTTTTTGGAACATCGTAAACCCTTGATTGAATGCATACAATCAAGGGCTTTGTACTGATCATTTTTGTATTTGATTTCATTGACAGCCTTGAACTGTCATGGTTTGAAAATGATCCTGGAGCATCTTTTGTTAATATTAGCTGCCTACCGTCTCTGCTTAATTCATCTTGTCTTCACAAGTTCTCAAACCTTTCTGATCTATCAGCCCAGACTACTGGTACACATGTACATCCCGTGGTCCCAATGAGTTTCTTTTTGTTTACACAGTTTGTTTTTGTGCGCTTCCTTTTAATCGGTTGCTTATACGTGGTGTGTATTAGGTATGCCGTGTTTGGCTTGACCAAATTGAGTATTGTCACGTCGGTACGAGATTAGCACATGCCCCCTGCGGTCATTTTGTATGTGATGATGAGGTTTCTACTGCAGAACTGAAGTGTAACTTCTGTGATATCATATGCAATGATGAAGTGGTGCGAACTTTCCATCTGAGAATAACCATTGCTGATAGCACTGCAAAGCTATTGGCCTGGTGTTCGGGCTATACTGCCACCGAGTTGCTGCAGATTACTCCTGATGAGTTCTGTGACTTGCCAGAGGTAATGATTGCCCTTGGTTTATTAATACGTAGTATATGATAACAATTGCCTAAATTTGGTAAGAAACTTTTCTTGAAGTCGTTGGATTTGGTTAAATTATGGCTGAAATGATCTAACTTGCTGAAAAAGAAAATAAGACGGATTATATTAGAATGGAGTTAAAATTGCCAATGTGCATTTGCTTTAATTTGAACAAAATATCAACATTTTCATTGTGTCGGTGCAGCTAGCTTTGTCAATTTAGGTTTGTTAGCATCTGGGAAAGTAATATTACTAGGAAAAAGGTGGCTAACCCCCACCCCCAATTTCTCATTATGTCTATTTTTCTTCCTACTTTCTTCCCTAACATTTTCCATGATACAACAAACCCCTCTATTGGGTGAGCTGAAACGAAATCTCTAGTGCCGACATTTTTTTCATTGGAATACTCATTTTCAGGAAGAACAAATAATGTATCCTTCTTCCCTTGAGAACGAAAAGTTCACCGTGGCGTTGGTGAAGGGTCATGATGTCACAGGCAATGTACACAAAACTGTGTCGTGGGAAATCACACGCGCAGCTAAGTGTGAATGAAAACATTGTGTGTTAACGATGAGTGCACCTGATTTTATACCTCCAGTTACAAAATGTCAATCTGTACACTGAAGGTGTAATGAAATGGACGATGAACGTAGATTTACTTTCAATATTTTTTAATCAATTGACTTCACTTAAGACTTCGATGGCGATGTAAATTAACAATGAGTGCACCTGATTTTATACCTCCAGTTAGTGTATGCATAATGGATACGTAGTATATATTACTGCCTCTTGAATGAAGTGTGTGCATGTTGGGGCTGTTTGGATTCCAACGTTTTGTGTCCAATACGTTGCTAATAGCATCGTTCATTTGCTTCAATTTGTTGCCGGGTCGATTCATATCTGAACCAATTTAATTTTCCTTTATTTTGCAGCATCCTTTCTAAAGTTAAACCATCAGTATTAGCACATTTAAAACAAGCAGTGGCTCTAAAGTTAAATCATCATTATTAGCACATTCAAAACAAAATTGTCAAAAATTATACTCACTTAAAAAGCATACTATTATTTCAATCCTGTCCACTTCTTTAATATCGAAGAATTTGATTTTTCTATTTTACAAAACAAAAATACGTAGTATTAGATAGCCTGCATCAAATATTGTTCAAATTTTTATATTATTCCAAAATTTTGAAGACGTGCTTTGTATAAAACTATTTTTTTGAGAGAGTACGATGTGGTCAGATTTATGTTTAAAATGTAGTAGTATATCTAATTTGGTCAAAGCACAATATTGACAAAAAAGTTTTTAGCATCATTTTCCTTCGTGGATTATTGACTATACCAATTAGTCCTGGACTCGGGCCGGGGTGGCCCGACCCGGAACCGGCCCGGGACCAGTACTGTGCTGAACCGGCCCGGCCCGGCCAGTGACCAGTCCCGGTAGGCCCGGCCCGGGGGGGTCCCGGTGCAGGCTCGGGTCACCCAAAAGCCGAACCGGCCCGGCCGGTTCGGGCCCGGTTCCGGGCTTTTTAAATTTTTTTTTTTCAATTTTTTTTATCTTTTCGGGTTGGGTTGGGTATTTTGGGTGGTTTGGGGGGTTGGGGGTGAGGGGGGTTAATTAGGAAAAGGAAAAATATTGACCTGAGGCCCGGCCCGGACCCGGTGGCTACCCGGGCCGGTCCCGAGCCCACCTATTCAGAACCGGCGGCCCGCTCGGGCCTAGGCCCGCTCGGGCCTAGGCCCGGCCCGAGTCCAGGACTAATACCAATTAATATGTAAATTATTGATGATTCAAAAACTTGCTTGAAATATACTCCATATTCCATTAGTTTTTGTTTTTGTGTTGCAACTAGGTCAAACTAAGATTAAAACAATATTAAAAAAACGTGAAAATGTATTAAGTGAATATAATCACATAGTTATAGACAACATACAATTAATTTTCAAAATAAACTACCTCTAGGATTAAAAAGCTGACAAAATAAGTGTAAAAATATAAACAAAAGCAAAAATATTTTTAGGAAAAACAACATAATCCAATATAGGAAAAATAAAAAAAATATTATCTCTGTATTTTTGATAGACAAAAATATTACTAGTTTCAATTTTTTCGAAAAGATAAGTGACTAAACTTCGCTTGATTAATATACATTTGTTTTAATTCTAATTCTTACTCAACTACCGCCTCATCCCTTACCCCAATGACCCCATCCCTAACCCCCAATGGCGCTTCCATCAACAATTGCCACAATTTCCTTTTTCAATTTTTGTTTGGGAAAAGGTGCAAATAAGCCCATGTATTAACCAAAAAAGGTCAAATAAGCCCTTATTTAGGAGTCTCTGTTAGGCCATCGCCATTTGGGGTGGTTCCCGGTGGAATTTTTTGATGAAATTTTTTGAGCATCTTATTCATTAAGTCTAGTTTACTCATACCAAATTTCGGATAAAACTTCAATCGGGAAGACATTCAAATTAATTCTTGAAGATAACTGCGTTTTTTTTTCATTCATTTGAATGCCCTTTTTTATTAGTACATGGGCTTATTTGCACTTTTTCCCTTTTGTTTTAATTGTCATAAAAAATAGTCAAATCAGAAACTTTCCATCAATCATAGTGACATGTTTCACGATAGTGACATACTAAATACAGACAAATCTTCATGTCAGGCCGGCCTGACTGGATGCTCCGTCCGGCCGAGCCCGTTTGGGAACCTTCCCGGTGGAATTTTTTTATGAAATATTTTGAGCATGTTTCTCATCAAGTCTAGTTTGTCCATACCAAATTTCAGCTCAAAATTCGATCGGGAAGGCATTCAAATCATTTTTTGAAGTTGACTGCAGTTTTATATGTATATTTTGACGCAGTCAACTTCAAAAAATGATTTGAATGTCTTCCCGATCGAATTTTGATCTGAAATTTGGTATGGACAAACTAGACTTGATGAGGAACATGCTCAAAAAAATTCATCAAAACATTCCACCGGGAAGGTGTCCAAACGGGCTCGGCCGGACGGAGCATCCCGTCAGGCCGGCCTGACAAGAAGACCACTCCTAAACTACAAATGACATTATGCCTATTATTTTATTACTTTTGTAGACACAATTTTGTCCATATATAAAAGTAGGTTAAGTAGCCACTTGTTTGGAAATTGACTCATATAGTATTACATACGGAGTAATATTTAAGGAAAAAAAGAAAACCCCTAGAAATATATAAATAGTCCAACCGAATCACAACATCATTTCGACTGTGTAGCCAAACAAGTCTGCTTCGTTCATCAGCCAAACATTTGAAATTCAATAATCTGTATCTAACTCTATACAATAGCCACAAACATTGGATTCCAGCTTTTGCTTGTTTTTCCAAATATAGTCTTACAATCTTTTCATTTAAAAATCTTTTATGTTATTAAAGTTGGAAGCTACTAAAAACTCTAAAATGTTCTTTTCCAAGATACACTCAGACTAACAAGTCATCTCATTTATTTTGCACACCTAAGAGAGGCGGTATCTCATGATTTGCATGGTTTTGTTCCACTGACGGTCAATGGAAGCTGATGAGCAAGGACATGTGGTGGGGGCTCCTCTGGTTCCGGCAAAGGGAACAACGGGAGATCCAAAAAATGTCAAGGTGGCAGGTCAAGATGGACCGACTCGCAAATATTATTAGCTGCAAGTCATTGGCATTTGGCAATCAAAGAAGGTACCCGGGGAAAAACAATGAGGTAGACTTAATTCTGAGTTTTTATTTAATTTCAGTTTTTTTTTTTACTTTGAAATAGGGGTGGACCCGGGCCGGGCCGGTTCAGGCCTGGGCCAGTTCCGGTTCGGGCCTGGGCCCGGGCGGGCCTTTTTTGGGAAAGGGGGAACCGGAACCGGCCCAGGTAGGCGGCAGTTCCGGGACGAGCCGGTTCCGGTTCAAGTTTTTTTTTTGTTTTTGATTTCTTATTTATTTCATCCCACACCCCCCACCTCCCAAACCCCTCGGAAACACCCCACCCAGCCCAGCCCAACTAAACCCATCCCAAATGGTCCTGTGTTGTTACAAATGGTTAGGGTTTCAGTCCATTTGTGTGTGATCGGGGGGTGAGGGTACTTTGAGTTATTCTAAATCTAGTGTGGGGGTCTTCTGATAATGTTGAGTCCATTATAAGAATATTGATTTTAATGATGTTAATATAGGCGATTCCATTTTAAATAAGTAAGCTTGATAAGTGTGTTTTTACACAAGCAGGGCCCCCAAATTTAAAGTCTCCAAACGAAGGGTGGCATACAAAAGAGTAATTCATAGAAGAGCGCATCTGCAGTCTGCACAGCTAGCTTGTAAGCAAATTAACAAGCAATGTTAATCCCTCCACCTGTGGCCACAAGTCGGGTTGCAGCAAACAAAAAACAGAGCCATTCCTTCTTCACCCTTACTAGTTGCCTGCATTAATAATATATATTCTATTAATACAACAGTTTATCATACATTCTTTCATTACTCACTTCAGCTAGAGAATAGTGATATTAGCATGCACCCAAACCGGTGATACTCAACATCTATACATGACCTGGAAGAAGATAGCCTCTGGATGGTGACACCTAACACATGGTGCATTTTTTGTGCGAGGTAGTGATGGATCCGAAGCTACATCAGGTATGACTTGTGTGCTCTCACTGGCAGCATGATGTATTTTCTTTCTGTATACACAATGGCTTACAGCAGTCTCCTGTTTAACAGATAGCATTGGAGTATCACGGTGAAGCTAGTGCTAGCTCAATGATAATAAAATCAATGTAAAGATTCATACAAACACCACTGAAATCAAACAACTGTCAATTATTATTCCTCCCAATGTTTTGTTTCAACTCTCACTTCAAGTGTTGCTGTGTTGCAGATATACTACAAAAGACTTTTACTTGAGTTGTTGTACCTATATTATGAAAAGTAATATTCCCTCCTCCAGCTTTGCTAAGAGGATGGAACGCTTAAGGTGTGGTTCATACTGAATTTGTTAAGTAGGGATGAACTTGAATCACACAAACATGGTATGAGATACTGGGTCACTGGGACCGACAATTTGTCAAGTTGGGATGGATTTGAACCACACAAACATGGCATGAGACACTGGGACTGACAAAAATGAAAAAAAGGGGCCCAAAAAGTGCGATGGAAGGGGTAGAGTTTTATGTCAAGGTATACATACTCCAAAACAAAAGAAGCCAATTCTATGGAATTTAAGGCAAACTTAAGAAACGCAGTTCAGATGCTGCATTTAGTTTTAAGAACAAACCATTTGAAAATATAAGTAGGATGGATGAAACAAACCCTATTTTTTGGGATGGATGAATTATTCACCATGTAACATTTCAGGATTTTCAGGATGAAGAAGGGGCTGAAGGCAATGGTGGAAAATGACTAAATGAGCAATTAATGCTCTCTTGGCATTTTCAGTAAAGCGAGTTATTGATCAAAGAGAGTAAGTTAACCATTACTAGTGAGATGTAGACTTACACCCACCCCCTCACCCCAATCCCCATCTACTATACAAGTTGTCAATTGGGTATCCTGATATCAATGGTGGCAAAAGAGAAGAATGGAAGGGACAAAAATTCAACCTAACAACAATGAATTCGATGCCACACAAACACTTCTGGGATATAGTGGTTCAACGCCCTAACATAAGTGATCGCCATTAACAACACTGACATAAATGATTCTTCTAAACCGTAGTACCTGGTGATCGCAATTGCGACATGCATACAGAAGGGTCTTCAGATCTTTGTCTTCCTTAGGGTACAGAATGTTGTCGCTGTTCCAACACAGTCAAGTGAACACTCGGAATGTTTACAACTGAAGATGATAGAATGAAGTAATTCCAGAAACTAACCAGTGACGACAAAACATCATACTACTCATTTTCGCGGGTCTTTGGTTTCAGCTGGAAGGATTGAATTTCGCGGGTCTCTGTCTCTCTCGTCCGAAACCCTAGCGTGCTAATGCTCAGGGAGCTCTCGGTGGGACGAATTGTAAATTTGTAATAGAGTGATCGGGTAATCAAATCAAACAGACAATTAGTTTAATTCGGGTGTGTATAATTTGGATGTAATTGCAAAGTGCCGTTAACGGGCATCTCCAATCGGGCAACGTCACTCTTTTAGAGGGAGCAAGCTTTTGTAGTTTTGTTACTCGTATTTTGTTTGTGTTTCTTTTTAGAGAAAATTTTACAAATAGGACACAAACATATGAAATTTCCAAAATTAGGACTACAACTATGCGTAAGACATAAGTGCAACTGATTTGATCATATTACCCTTACTTTTAAATTGCCAAACGACCCAAACCAATACTTTTATTTCCTGTACGGTTTCCATTCCATTTGGGGTCTGATTCCTGCTCGACCTCTTGAAGTATGTCAGTGATATGCCGTCCATCTGCGATTCAAGCGTCTAAAATCAGTACTCCGAGCACCTGGGAAACGACGCCGAGTTGCTGGAGTCTTCCGTCGTGAAGCCAGCATCCCCTTCCGGTTGTTTGTGGTGAGTCGCGCAGTTCTTCCATCGTGAAACCCCCTTTTGTGAACCTGTAAATCTTGCTCTCTCGGCTCTGTGTCTGAGGATCCCCTGTGCGGATATGAGCTTGTCGCTTGTTCCGTCCGTTGCAGACTAATAAAGGCGGACCTCAATGGCCCTTGAGTAGATTTTTGGCAGTGATAATCCAGTTTCTGTTGAGGTGGAACATCATCTCGCCCAGAGATGTGGATGACGATGGATCCAAAAGATATGGAGGATGGTTGTTCCTTGTTCGATGTAGCGATATCTGCCAAAGCGCCGGCTGAATCGTCGGTTTCCCTTGGTGTAGCCAGAGCCCCGAACCCTAGATCAGTCTGCCTCGCAAGTTTTTATTTCCATTTGGGGTCTGATTATGTGAATGATTTTCGAGTTGATGGTTGTTGTAATGGGGTGGTCTGTGTCAGTCTCAATCACAAGTCTCAATCACAACGTAAACCTTAACCACCAGTAAAATTGTCATTTGAAATCCGGACACCAGTAAATATCGATTTCTGAACGTCCCAAAAGCTACTCCTTTTGAGGCTGCTTCCCCCAAAATAGCATCATGGAAGAATTTCACGCTCTGTGGGGGGGGTCAACTTATTTAGGTTTTGGTCACTCTCTTGAATCCAATGATTACAAGCTTTTAAGAGTATGGAACTTGTCTGGGTTCGTCAACCATGAAAATTCACTCTTGGTCTGGTGTATGCATTTAGTAATGGCACCTGGAAGTTGATCAGTGATGATTTTAGATATTTATTGACTGGTAGCACGCCGTCGTTAATGGGTGAATGCACTGGTACACTTCTAAGAAGATCATTATCTTTAACATTGGGAAAGAGGAGTTCAGAAAAATGGCTGGACCTATATGTAGTTGGGAACAAAAATACTTGTAAAATTTGTTTGGTTTGGTCATTAAGCTAGTATTGTTACTAAATATAGAAAACATTCGATTTGACTATGTGTAATCTACATTTTTAGCACCATATGAGATGTTTGTTCACTTTTAGTCTTTATTTAATGTGAAGTTGATTTGTGAAATCTGGTTGAAGTATTTGATAAAGTCCATAATTGGACCATAACAAGTCATTAATGTCTCAGTTGTAGACATTAAAACTTTACAGGCCCTATAAGTACAAGCCTTAGTAAAAAAAGATTAAAACAAAGCTATAAAGGTAATAAATTGAACATCTTTTTTATTAGTTGTGCCATCTAAATAAATGCAAGCTTCATGTCCAAGAACTTAGATTACTTTATTGACTTAATTGATTCAATGACATTTATTTTGTGAGTATTTGATTTCTCAAACATCTTACTCAAGAATATGTTTCATGATGCCTCATAATTCCATCCAGCTATGAAGATTGTTGCACATGTGAGGAGGAAACTAAAAATAACACAATATTTAACTTCCTTGATGATATGTTCACTTTTGTTTATAACAACTAATTTTAGTGTACGAGCAAAAGTAATCTCTTTGATAGTTGATTCATACTAGTGAAAATGGAAGATAAATCATAAGAGACGGTTATAGATGTAACAAAGATTATAATTAAGGTCTCCTTATAGACATTAATCCGTTCGTAAGTAGACAATAATTTGCATCATATCAGCAACTTGCTTGCTTTCTAACAACCAATAAAGTGAGTATGAATAACAAAAGTACATATAATGAAACACCAAAATACCATTCCAATGAAGTGATTTTTAACACTGTTTTCACTATCAAGAAGCAAATTCTCTGACTATGATTTTTTTATGCCAACCGAGTTGGTGTGTGAGACATGTAGGCCGGTGGCATGGGTAGCACATTATGGACTACATACAATTTAATTAGGAAAACTGCAATTAAAGTATGGACTACTATGGTACGCCACCCACACTATAAATAGTTACTTACGCATGAGTGAAAGTACATCTTTGATATGTAATCATATCACGATTATCCTCGACTCATACGAACTGCGCTAGGTGAACTCACAACATGAGCATGTTTTATTTTTGAGATTAAAAGGAAAACTTCTAGATGTTTTGTCCACCACCTCAAACTCAATTTGAGTAGGCTTCTTAACCTAAAACATCATACATACATCACATTACAAGTAAGTACAAAGTGAATGTAAAATATGAAAGTAATAGAACAACAAATATGTCATTTGGGGTATGTGCTTTCCTAGATGCATTTGCATACCGGACTTTGATGATATTAACAACTATATATGTCGTGACTTTTATGGGAGGCCTTGTTTGACATCAAGAGAGCATGTGTGACAAAAATCAAACTTTGAAAATAACAGACATTAAATAGATAGTAAGTAGCCAGTAAATAGACAATAAGTCCGGATAATAGCACAATAGCAAAGCAGGTAACATAAACACTATATATACCGTCCACAATATTTTTAATGATGAAATATCTCGAGAGGCTATCGAGAAACTCCGTGATGAGGCGGCATATGTGGTCACACCGTCACAGCATTTGGTTACAGAGGTCATGATGTCGGAGAAGAATTTTGTTCCTAATCGGATCAGCGCCAGAGATGTAAATCGGACGGTTCGGAAATTCTCGAAATCGGAAAGATGATTGAGCCAGCGGTAACAGCCCTGAGTCGCCGATGAGCGATGCTAAAACAGGCGTAGAATACTTGTAGGGCGTAGAATGCGATGAGGTGAAGAGATGGAGTCGGGGATGTTTTTTTCTAAAATCTGCAATCCTAAAGAGAAGGGTAAAATTGGAAAGCCATAATAATGTTTCCTAAAAGAGAACTAGATAAGTCCTACGCTTTGAAAAAATGGTACTAGTTTTGTAAAATTTCTATGATTTAATCTTATTAGGAGCAATTTTCTCTTCTTTTTATAGGTCAACTTCACTTTTTTATAAATTTATTTTCCTCAGCTTCTTAAAATTTACTTTTAAAATATTTCAAATGTTTGGGAATATTTTTATACTTTCTTCCGAACATTCAACTAGTTGAAAGAGTAGAAACAATTTGAATAAGCTGGTCTGAACACTCCGTAATGTGATTAAAAATAATAAAATTAAAAAGCTGTAACATCAATACCAATTCAATATTCGTACGGAGGGATTATGAAATATGTCTTCTGTTTAAACGGAAAATATTTCGATTAAATTGTTTAATCGTTTTTTTAGAAAGATGAATATTTATATTTTAGTCTTCAAAAAAATGTTTAATCATATTTTTAGAAAAATGAATATTTATATTTTAGTCTTCAAAAACTGTAGACGTAATAATTTCTCATATACAATTTGTTTATCGTGATTTGAAAAATGCATTAAAATCATTTATAGAAAAGTTGATAAGCATATCAATTATCAAATGTGTATGTGAAGCAAAACAATACCAATATAAAAAACAATGGACCATTCTTGGTGTACATAGACAAATTCTGTGTACATTGTTTGTGTACATAGACAAATTATGCCCCTTTTTAAAGGAAATGCATGTGTACACAGGGGTCACATGCAAATATGGGGGTTTTGTGTACAATTTGACTCATGTACACTAAGAATTTTCCAAAAATACTACCAAGTACAAATAAAAACAAAAGCCTAGCTTTCTAGCAGCACAAATAAACACATTAGCATGGTGGCAACAACAGGTCATAACAACTTATAACTGCAGCTTTTGCAAAGTCCAAATTGAAAGCAGTTCAGAATCTAAAGACAAGTTTTCCTTGGCAGCTACAAATATGCCAAAACAAGCAGAAACACACATAGACCAAAGTGCCCCTCAAAATATGCCTCTAAGGACATTTGCTGCAGTGGAGATGGCTGCTCCTGTAATAGCACACTGGATCACCTGCTCGTGAGAATGGTCCTTTGCTGTGAGAGCCAGTGCTGCTCCTGTTATGGCTCCAGCCACGGCGCTGTTTCTCTGATAACCAAACCACAATATTACAATGGGCTGTTGTGAACAACCAAAGCGATTTGCATAAATAGTGAAAGAGTAATACATACCCAATCATGTGTTCCTCGAACCTCCCTAAGCCCATAGGTAATACCAGAATACATTCCTGCAGCAAAACCTGGTACAAGCAGAACACATATTGTGTGATCATGGTCAAGCACGTATATTTTCCGAGGATATAAAACAGGATAATGATAGGGTCAGAATGAGCAGGTTCATGTAATGACAAGCTTACCATCACTTTGTTACTGTTACTTATTTACTTGGTAGTTGATAAATATGAGAAAATTTTACCAAAACAGAATTAGCACCACTACCACACCGTTTCCTTGAGACCAAGACTTGTTAGTGTTGGTTAATTTTAAAGAATTACACTGGATTGAGGTAGCATCCTCATTCATACTTTTCACATAATCAATTTTTTTGCGGTTCATACTTTTAAATTATTGACACATTTTCTGAATAATCTCAAACCCCTCTCTATGTGACCCTCAGCAATCAATCATCTCTAAATAATTTGATCATCTCTCCCTAGCTTATACCTTTAGTTTCAAAATTAATCTTTAAACAATCTGAATTTATATTCTGATCAATAATCCCACTAGATAATCTCTAACTCAACCATGCACCCAAATAATATTATGGATGGAGGCTATGAGCCACTATGTAAGCTATATCACAAATTAGTAGTCTTACCCCATTGCATAGATTCTTTCCCTGTGCTTCTTATCTGCAAGCATCGCAAAATAAAGAACATCAATGAAGTTCTAACAACTCACATTTTGTCAGTTACTGAACCAATACGTATACAGTCACAAGGGGGGAGACAGATGAGAGATTAGCGGATCATAAGCAAGGACCCTATAAGAGGGGAACAACTTAACTTACCAAGGCCTCAAATGAGTTTTTGTTGCTATCCCCTACACCATAACAAAAACAGTGTATTAGGGTGAAATCTGGCAGTATAGACCTCTACAATTCTAGTTTATTGTCTTATCATAGCACATTGTGTGCAGCTAGACTGCCAAGAGTCAGTCTGTCTATTTCCCATATTTATAGTTATCAAATTCCGTATTACATCTAACATCCTAGATAATTAGCATCATCGTGTACAGTGTTGTTGGAGATGATTTCATTTACTTGGACAGAAAAACGAATTGCTAATCCAAAAGTCATTGGACATCATATAGTCAAAAGGGAGCAAAACAATACGGAGTACTAGATAAACAACACTAGTATAATGGAAAGTGGAGACTGTTTCAAGAGTTACCTCTAAGGCTTGGAAACGAATGATGTTTCTTGGCACTTCCAATCTCTGGAGGGATAGCGGATGTATCTTGACTTACACCTGATTCACACACATTTAGTTCAATGCTCTCTCTCCATGAATCAAAAAAGTCAAAACGACCAAATATCATCAATAGCACTTACTGGATTTAATTATCATTTTCCAATAGTAAATAAAGGGGAAACTATAGACAAAAATGAACAAAGTGTGGCGCTCGGGGCCTCACCATCAACGGCTGTGAAGTAAGCCTCTCGAGCTACAGCTTGAACCGCACCAATCTAAGATGCCGCAACAATCAATTAGCAAGTCATAACACAAATTACAAATAGCTTAGTCTCCGATCTAATCAGTCTATGATGGTGGTTATGGACGAAACGGAAAAAGTAATAGAGAATAGAGATGGATTACCCCAGCTGCTTTGACGAAGCTTTCAGCAACACGGTTAAGGAGAGGATGGCCCAAGTCAAACAGGGCGCCGTTATCGAAACCGCGGATTTCATCCAGCAACGAACGAGTTTCCAAATTTGTGCTAGTCATTTTGAACTTTTTACCTTCAGAAAAATTTGCAGAGCAATGCCGGTGAAGATGAGAGATTGTTAGTGATGTGTGATGGAAGAAGTAGAAAGAGGGAGAAGAGGTTTCTGCGGTGCAGAACACGTGTCGGGAGGGAAGCGAGTACGTGTTGGCCGGCCGTTGAGATAACCGCCTTTCGGGCTTCGTGGCGATTATGGAGGAGGATCAGTTCAAACTTCAAACTCCAACGTGGCATCACTTGGAACAGTTGTTATACCGTATGACCGGTATACGGTAAGCACCGTATACCGGCATACGGTTTTAGGAATCTTTGGAAGCTCCGCATGAAACATGTATTAAAATGATAGTGAGTCTTATTATTTATTTATTTCTCTTATTGTTAAAAACATTAATAACTTTTTCATTTGTAATCTGGTTTTTATAAAATTTATACCAAAACTTTTTATTTTTCATGATCTTTCAAATGAGACCAATATTGCCTATGTAATTTTAATATATTATCGAACTATTATATTAACCTATGTCAAATATGTAATTTTACATGTAGAAATATGTAACTCACGTTCAGGCAGGCAGAATGCAACTCGTGTGTATAAATATGTAACTCTACATGTAAAAATATGTAACTTTACGTGTAAAAATATGTAACTCGCGTTCAGACAGGTCAAATACAACTCGTGTGTATAAATATGTAACTCGCGTGTATAAATATGTAACTTTACGTGCAAAAATATGTAACTTTACGTGTAAAAATATGTAACTCGCGTTCAGGCAGACCAAATGCAACTCGTGTGTATAAATATGTAACTTTACGTATAAAAATATGTAACTCGCGTACATTAAGATGTAACTCGCGTACAATAAGATATAACTCGCGCAGAAGAAGATGTAACTTCATGATATATTATCAAATGTAACTTCAAAAATCAAAATAAACAAACTCAATGTCTTAAAAACCTCTAAAAATATATAAAAGTGATAAAAAAAAGTTATAAAAAGTTTGTCCATATAAAAAATATAACAAAAAGTGTATGAATATAAAAAGTATATTAAAAAAAAGTATATGAATATAAAAATTAATACAAAAAAATAGTGTATGAATATTAATTGCAATATACTTATTTTATTTAGATTAATAATTTTTTTGGTATGCATTGATGAAGAATAAAAAAAAATAGAAAAGAATTATGAAATAAAATATACTTATTTATGTGGATTAATAAAATTTTGTAAAAATTATGTAAAGAAAAAATGTAAATTCAATTGTATTTTAATTAGTTAAAGATAAATGAATAAAGAAAGAAAGCACTAACTGGATGAAAAAGAAAGAAAACACTAACCAGAGGAAAAAGAAAGAAAGCACTAACCGGAGGAAAAAGAAAGCTTCCGTAATGAGTTTAGGGAGGGGGGAAACGACACCGTGTTAGGACCGGCATACCATGCTCATGGTATGCCGGTTGCACGGTATAATTTGCGCACTTGGAAGGCTCTCCCATAGTAGTAGCATAAAATCACTATTTTTAAATTAAATGTTAAAAATAGTAGTAGCATAAAATCCTTTTTTTAATTTTTATTTAGTCAAATTTGACTTTTAAACTTCGATCCAACTATATATATGCACGATAATATTGTAATTTTTTTTAAGAATACTATCACAAATGATATGAAATATTGATTTTTTTTAAAAAAACAAATAACTATTTTATTTATCAAACGGTAGCATAGAAACAAGAGACTGAACAATGTAAAGTCACAACGAGATGAAACTTTGAATGGAAAATATCTCAAAAATCCTTTTAACAGTCTTGATTAAAATTTGAGATTGAGAAACTTACGTTCTCTGCACACCGCTAGGAGAAAAACATAGCACACACTCACATAGTCACATGAAGCAAACAAATTTCTCGACCAAACAAAACGACAGACCAAACCAATCAAAAGTATAAATTAAAAAAGAGCGAAAGCATATAAAATTTTTTGATTCGATAATTCACTGTCTGAAAACGCATCACCATCTTCCAAGACTCTTGCTGATTGAAGAAGAGAAGACTCGAAAATCAAATCTCGCAGGAGGCGGGAGATGGGTGCGGCCCTGACCCTGGCTCAGCACAAATTTTAAATTTTTTTATATTTTTAGTATTAAAATATTGTGTAATTTTTTTCCAGAAATATTCTTTGTACCAGCCCAATCCGGTCCAGCGTTCTGGCTCCGTCCCTTTGAGCGCATAGGGTTTCACCTAGGGACAGTTGTCTAGAGCACAACGAAAACTTTATTATAGAATTTGTAATAGAACAATTTTTAATAGAAACCTTAATCGGGATGTGTAATAATATTTTGAGCCCGTTTGGAGAACTCTGTTTTCGGCTTATCAGGCTTATCAGCCAGCTTTTTCACCTAACACGTAACTTTTACTTTCGCGCGCTGAATTGTGTAATAAGCCGAAAAAGTAAGGTTGGAGTTACTTTTCTGGCTGTATTGGCTGAAGTTACTGTAGAGGACCATTTTAGCTATTTTTACATATAATTTTTTCTTTAATTTATTAATAAAATATATTTTTAAAATATTTTTTTCTTAAATCAGCAGAATCAGCCAAAACAGCCACTCCAGCCAGAATATCATAAATTTCAGCAGAATCAGCCAAAACAGCCGATTTTGGTGTTACCAAACGGGCTCTTTGTTTACAAGTCAAAACGTTAAAAATGAAAAATTCCAACTAAGCATGTTCTTAATTAGAGTGATTTTTTTTGTCTCCTCTAGTTTGGTTGAACTGATTTGATCTTGTATGAGTTTTGTGTATCTTTTACAAATTACAATTGTCCAAATAAATTTCATTTAGTCCAATTTGATCCGATTTATTTAAATTTAGTTTGATATAATCACATTTGGACTGGATTGAGTCCAATTAAAATATGAACATGCTAAAATAGATTGGTTACTTGAAAGAACTTGTAGAAAAACATTTTAAGGTAGATAGTGGGCAAACCATGTTAGAATTGTAAGACCATTTTATTTTACATTGGTGTTAGATAAATATAAATATTAACTCTTATAAAAAAAATCTTCTTAAGAACAACAATTCTCATGTCTCTTCTCGCAAAAAAAAAAAATAACAATTCACATGTCTCTTCTTCTAAAATACTACTCCCTCCGTCCCGTTAGAAGGTTCTCATTTCCATTTTAGGAAACAATTAACAATTTTAAGTGACAAATTCGTCATTAAATATTACACATAATACATTTATAACATCACACTTATCAATACTAACACATTATAATATATACCTATTAAAATTATTTCTCAAAATATACCCGAAATACTTTATTTAATTATCACCTAAATAACCGTGCCGTTTTGCTATGGGAACCTTCTTGCGGGATGGAAGTAGTACGTATTAGTAAATGATGTCGCTGATGTTTTAAGTAGCACAATTTTTTTTTGAGAGGAAGTAGCAAAAAATTTTAGTCCAAGTCTTAGCACTAGATTTGAGCAGGCACAAAATTTGGCATTTTGGCCATAATTTAATTGTGTTGTGTTGAGTAAAATTTTCACACTACCAAAATGCCAACATACCAAAAATTAACTTTGTTGTGTTGTACAAAATGTCAACACAGTAAAACTTAACTCTATTTGCATTTTGTCTTTTCACACTATCTCATGTGACTTCATAAGAGAGTCATAGAGGGCACTACAAAATATTTCCTCCATTAAGGAATATTTTCTCCGTCCCAGAATAATTGTATTGAGCAATAATTTTTAACGTGTGCTTATTTTAACATAAGTTTTTAAAAAATTGATTGAAAAGACAAAAGTTATAATTGAGAATTATTTAGATAAAACGTGAATTGATATGACCCCAAACTATTTTCAAAAGAAAAAAACTAGAAAATTGTTTTGGAACCGTAACATGGGGTTTAATGCATCAAACTCCCCTGTGATCTAGAAATTCGGCGCATTAGCCCCATGTGATTTAAAAATGCGTCAAACCCCCTTGTGTTTTAATTAATCATGCACAGAACCTCCTTTATGAATAAATTTAATGATTTGAAAATCACTTTACCTAATATTTTAATTGAATATGCAGATAAATATGTTAAAATCTTTGAATCATACAAAAATGTTAATCATTTTTCTTTGGGAAAAGTACAGAAAACACATGTGGTTTTGACCATTTTCAACTAGGAACATGTGTTTCATTTTCTAACAAAGCAAGACATGTGTTTCAATTCCGTTATCATAGCAGGGGCATGGCGTCTAACGCCGTTAGAAAAATTAACCCCGATTTTAAAAAGTCTCCAAAAAATTAAAAGAAAAATACTGGGAGGTGCGCCTCGTCAAGGAGATCAACAAACTATCTTTCTCTTTGGATTTTTCGGCTCTATTGGGATTATTTTTTAAAAACAAAATCGCTAATATCAATTTTCTGATAGACTTTCTGGAGATATGGTGGCTGGAAACAAAAAAATAAAGATAGTTTGTTGATCTCCTTGACGAGGCACACCTCCCAATGTTTTTCTTTTAATTTTTCGGAGACTTTTTAAAATCGGGGTTAATTTTTCGTTTAGACTTTTTAAATGATTAGACGCCATGTCTCACTTTGTTAGAAAATGAAACACATGCCCCTATTTGAAAATGACCCAAATCACATGTACGTTTTCTGTACTTTTCCTTTTTTCTTTTATTTGACAATTGAATTTGTTCACATAAGAGATTTGGCGCATGATTAATTAAAACACAAAGGGGTTTGACGCATTTTTAAATCACACGGGCTAATGTGCCGAATTTTCAAATCACATGGGGTTTGGTGCATTAAACACGTAACATGTGACCTCTAGCTTGTACTCCGTATAAACTATAAAGTGCGAGTAAAGGGTCAGTTTGACCCTCGAAGTTGCAAAAAAAATTGTCAAATAAGTCATTATATAGAAGATTCTGTCCGGACGTGCCATTTGAGGTGGCTCCCGGTAGAATTTTTTGATAAATTTTTTTGAGCATCTTTTTCATTAAGTCTGGTTTACTCATACCAAATTTCAGCTAAAAATTCAATCGGGGAGACATTCAAATGAACTCTTGAAGATAACTGCGCTTTTAACGGCACAGTTATCTTCAAGAATTGATTTGAATGTCTTTCCCGATTGAATTTTTAGCTGAAATTTGGTATGGGTAAACTAGACTTAATAAATAAGATGGTCAAAAAATTTCATCAAAAAATTCTACCGGGAGCCACCTCAAATGGCACGTCCAGACAGAATTTTCTATATAAAGACTTATTTGATCCCTTTTTTGCAATTTCGAGAACCAAACTGACATTCTTTTCTATATAACATGTCCTTTTCTATATAAGGACATTCTTTCCGTTAATGTTGCAACCGCAAAATCAATTGGGATAAGGCTGCATATGAGGGACTCATATTTGAGATGCAAAGAAATGGATCAACCCCAATAAAACAATTGCGGCAGTAAAGCCCTAAAACCTCCCAGCCACTACAGCGAACCTTCATCCAAAGGGAGAACTTCCGCACATGAGCTTTGCCCATTGCCAGCTACATTTCCAATCGATTCACACTCAGAGACCAATCTTCAAAGCATAACTGGTTTTTAGGAGCAGGGTCAGTCCAAGATCTTTCATTTTTATCATGCAGAAGTTCATAAAAACTTCCCTTCATCAGGGAAGCTGTATTTTCTTCTATAGCGACGCGTAGGTCATGGATGTAAAGCTCTCTTCAGCTGCAGGCGTCACACCTTCTCCGCAGGTGCAACCAGCAAATCCTTAATCGCTCCTTCAATGTCGCTTGCCCAGCGGCTATTGACCAACACCACTAGTAGTTGCCTCACCATTATGGTAAGTGATGATTTTCGAATTTTGAGAAAATGAAAGGAACTGAATTTGGAGGATACGAGTTTTCTTGGAATGATTTATTCAGCTCGAAGAAACATATTATACACTCTGTAGTCCATACCAGTTCAGCCTCAAGTATAAATATGTGATAGTGTTATACTCCCTACCTTATGTATTACTTGCTCAAAAAGGCTCACCGTGACATTAAAAGTTAATTGTCATCCTTCAACGCTTATGTTATTGTTAAAAATTCAAACTTAAATATTTAGAAAAGATGCTAAAAGTTTTACTAGATTCAAAAAACTGAATTTGAATATGACAAAAAGTTGGTTCATAATATTGGTAATCTAAAACAGAATTGGATTGATTCAAGAATTTAATTGGGACAAGTAATATGGAACAGAGAGTAATATTTAACTCAATTGGTATGATGATAATCATGTCTTCTGTGTTGTATCTGTCTTGTTTGTTTCAACAACTCTGTAGTCTAGTCATTTTCTCATAGCTTTTCTCTATAAGTTACAGAACAAGGCATTTCAGAATTGTTCAGCAATCCAGCTACAATTTCCAGCCTTTGGAAGCATATCAAAATTTGAGAATCTGCCTTGCCAAGCTAGGACATGTGTGGTGTATAGAGGAATTCCATCTAGAGTATTTGCCTCAAAATTTGAGCCAAAGTTATTTTATACTGTGCTGCCTAAACGTAGAATGGGGGTACAATGTAATGAAGCTTTTGTGAATGTCATCAGTTTTGGTTCAATGGGTAGATTGGGTTCACGGTCCTTTTCTCATTTCCCTAGGAAAGCAATCTCAGAGAGGAAATATGCTCAGAGTCCCCATGACGCTGACAACAAGGATGTGAATCTAGAGAATTCAAGTTTACCTGCTAGCAACAAACAATCACCTATAACTAAAGGGAAGGTGAAGAAACAACCAAGAAGCAAAAAGGGTAATAGTGGATCTACTGATGTGAAGGAAGATATTCCTCAACAGAAGAAGAAAGCTACAAAAAAGAACCAATCTCCTGCCATTTTAGAGGTTAGAAACATCTTATTAAAAAGGTTATGCATTTCGCAATTGTATTAGCGAAATACATCAACTAACTTCAGAGTTTTCCAGATTAGCTCAACTGTCATATCAGAAGTATCTGATGGAAATGTTTTGGGAAAGCAGCAATCTACCTTTTCTAAGAAAAGCAACATCACAAAGGAAAAGGCAAATAAGGATGCCACTGCTCTTGTAAATTCAGACAAGGCGGATAACTTTTCATCAACTAGTAACTTGGAACAAAACCAAAGTTTAAACCCGGGCAGCAAAGCCAAGTCTCGAGTTCAGAAAGTGTGGCCAAAATTATACCCACCCACCAATAAATCTGTATTGGTGGTGGAATCTGTCACTAAAGCAAAGATTATTCAGGGATATCTTGGGGACATGTTTGAAGTACTGCCTAGTTATGGCCATATTAGGGACTTGGCCGCCAGGTCAGGATCTGTCCGACCCGATGATGACTTTAGCATGGTGTGGGAGGTCCCCCCTGCTGCATGGACTCGCCTTCTTGCTATCAAAGGGGCATTAAGTGGGTATGCCACCTGTATTAATAAATTGTGTTCTATGTATATTCTTGTTCTAGGCCTTTTGCTATTGTTCTATGTAAGTGTTAAAAATCTTGGTTAGTTTTTTCACGTTTTTAACACGTTTTTAACACATACTATGTTTTTTATTACAAAAATACGTTTAAAACGAAAAATAAGGTCGGTCTGTTTAAAAAAAACTCCTGCTCCCCGTACTTTACAAAAAAAACGAAATGAAACGTAAATTTCCCGTACTTTAAAAAACTATAAACGTGAATTGATCAATTGAATGAATGCATTAAATGCATAGGAGATCAACAATAGTTTAAATGCAAGAAAGAAAATCTCCTCTCTGTGACCCCGTGTTTTTGTATTGATACATTACAAAATATACAATTATTAAATACTATAAGTAAATTAATGGATGGCGGCTAAAGCTAGCATCCTAAAAGACCAAAATCTAGAATACTACTACCTCCGTCCCAATATGATCCTATTTCTTATTCACTTAGTCTACACAAACCACTCTTAATCTCTTACTTTATATATCAAACTTTTATCAAATTTGATTTTTCTTTTTGCGACTTTGTAAAACTTTTAATGTAGTTTTTGAATATGTAAATTTTATCGATTAAAAATGATTTGAGTGTGGACAAGGATCCATTTGCTTTATCGTTGGTTAAACCTCGTAAACCGCAACAAGACCATCAAATTGGGATCGAGGGAGTACTCTTTCCAAACAGGCATCTCAAAATTAAGGTTTTTCTAAACCCAATGGTGTTCTAGTATAGACTTCTACACATAAACAATAACAAATGTAGCAGCCGCACAACTCTCTTTTGCGTCATCCGTCTTGATGAAGATGATGAGTTTAACTTGGGTGTTATTTGATAAAAAGATGATGATGTTAACTTGGTCTCATTCTATCGTTATTGTGCATCATTCTATTTGACATTATATTTGCAGAACTTGTCTTGGACTTAATTACTATTTTTTTCTTTGACTTATGCAATTAATAATTAATTTTTGATGTAGTAATATGATTTTCTATTTGAGTATATGTATAATTTGATTTCTTTTTTTTTTACTATATGTTGTTTTTTCCATCATTTCCAATGGAACCAAAGACTCACTATTTGTTGTTGTTTACTACATGTTGTTTTGTGATGTATATAATAATGTAAATGTTCAAAGCAAGACCCGTATTTTAATATTTTTGGTCCAACTTTTTGTAACAGATATCGCAATATACAGGTATACGTATTTATACGTTTTTTAAAAGTCAATGCTTGTTTCAACGAATATATGACCATTTTTTTAGTTCACGTCACCGAATAAAACTTGACGTATTGAACTTCGTTTAATTTCAGTACCATATTTAACTAACTAGGGTAAAAATCAATGACGAATATACAGGTATATGTATTTATACGTTTTTTAAAAGTCAATGCTTGTTTCAACGAATATATGACCATTTTTTTAGTTCACGTTACCGAATAAAACTTGACGTATTGAACTTCGTTTAATTTCAGTACCATATTTAACTAACTAGGGTAAAAATCAATGACGAAAGTGGATTTAATTTGATCTCATAATTGTTTCTTTAGAAGATTGTGGTATGAAAGTCCTGCTCCATATAGCTTTGCCACACCTTAGTGCATGAATGTATGCTGTAAAATAATTTTAGGCGACACTATAAATTTCATGGTATCTACGCTTCCATGGTTGGGATTATTGAGGGTAATGGTCCTTATTATGACCTTTTTTGTTAATTTTATAACTGGTGCTTTTATTCCTTATCTCATGTAACCCCCCCCCCCCCCCCCCCCCCATATCTTCAGAGCCAAGAATATAGTTCTTGCTTCAGACCCTGACCGTGAAGGGGAAGCTATTGCCTGGCACATTATAGAGATGTTGCAGCAACAGGATGCTTTACGTGATGATATCACCGTGGCAAGGGTTGTTTTTAATGAAATAACTGAGTTGTCCATAAAAAATGCCCTCCAGGCCCCGAGGGAGATTGATGTGAATTTAGTGAATGCTTATCTTGCTCGACGTGCTCTTGATTACTTGATTGGTTTCAACATCTCTCCATTGTTATGGAGGAAACTTCCTGCCTGCCAATCAGCCGGCCGGGTTCAGTCTGCTGCTCTTGCACTAATATGTGATAGGGAAATGGAAATTGACAAATTTGAGCCACAGGAGTACTGGACAGTTGATGTTGAATTCAGCAAAAAAGACTGTCCAACTTCAGCTAACAACTTATGTTTCTCATCATACCTAACACACTTTGACTCTCAAAAGTTAAATCAGCACTCTATTCGTTCTCAATCAGAGGCAAATGACATTGAAAAGAAGATCACTTCAACGGTGTTTAATGTTCTTAGCTCCAAGAGGACCAAGAAGCAGAAAAACCCGCCTCCTCCATATATAACCTCAACGCTCCAGCAAGATGCTGCTAACAGATTGGGTTTCACTTCCACATATACGATGAGGTTAGCTCAAAAGCTGTATGAGGGTATCCAGTTGTCTGATGGTAATGCAGCAGGATTGATAACTTATATTAGAACTGATGGATTACATGTTTCAGATGCGGCGGCAAAGGGCATTCAATCATTTGTTAGGGAAAGATATGGACAGAGTTTTGCATCCAAAACTCCTCGTACATATTTCAGGAAGGTGAAGAATGCACAAGAGGCCCATGAAGCCATAAGGCCTACTGATATCTCTAGGCTTCCTTCAGTGCTTTCTGGAGTAATAGATGAAGATTCACTGAAGCTATACACACTCATCTGGTCACGCACATTGGCATGCCAAATGGAACCATCCACCATAGAACAATTAGTGCTTGATATTGGGAAATCTGATCAATCTATTATTTTCCGTTCTACATGCTCGAATGTTGAGTTTAGAGGCTACAAGGCTGTGTATGAGGACCAAGAAACAAATTCCATACAGAAAGAGGAAGATGGGGATGATTTCCATACTCATAGATTTGAGGTTCTAAGTGGTTTGAAGGTGGGGGACCCACTGTTTCTAGGTAAAACAGAACTTAATCAACATCATACTCAGCATCCGCTGCGCTACTCTGAGGGCAGTTTGGTCAGGAAGATGGAGGAGCTTGGTATTGGAAGACCTTCTACTTATGCGTCCACAATAAAAGTGTTAATGGATAGAAATTATGTGACGGTAAAAAGCAGGGTATTATTTCCTGAGTTTCGGGGCCGTATGGTGTCAGCATTTCTGTCACATTATTTTTCTGAGGTGGCGGATTATTGTTTCACCGCTGATATGGAGACCGAGCTTGATAATGTGTCGGCTGGATTGACTGAATGGAAAGGTCTGTTAAAAGATTATTGGTCTAGATTTAGTAAGTACTGTGAACATGCCAGTAATGTTCACATCCATCAGGTGGAGAAGATGTTGGAGAAAACATATGGTGACTTTTTATTTGCATCTCTCAATTCTAGGACATGCCCTAGATGTGAGGAAGGAACTTTAGGATTTAAAGTCAGCAGGTTTGGTGCAGGATATTTCATAGGCTGTGATCAACACCCTAAGTGCAAGTGAGTGTTATTGTTTTTTATGTTAATGCTTTGTAAATATAACAAATTTCAACACTTTGGATGTTTGGGCTAATAGTGGCCGGTGGGCAACCTATAAGCAAATAATAATGTCACGGAGCAATTTTGCGGGAAAATAACTTGTAAATCTTATTCAGGTATATCGCAAAGACACTATATGGTGAGCAGGAAGAAGAAACTACATCTGATGACAATACCAAGAGTATGGATGAGCAAATATTGCTGGGTATCCATCCTTCTTCCAGTGAAAAGGTTCTCATCTGTCACCAGTAGATACATTTACTTGTTACTAAACTTATGTCTTTGTCCAACTATCGGGTGCCTTATGTTTATATTATATTTGTGTAGGTTTTTGTTAAGAATGGTCCATATGGATACTATGTTCAGCTTGGAGAAGACACTGCAGGCCACACCCCCAAGCGATCATCACTATCACAAGTATGTGAATAACTGTGTCATGCAACTTTACCCTTTGGTTACTATGGGATGCCACAATAGCCTTGATTGACTCTTACCTATAAGTATTACACAACTGTTGATCATAAATATATATATATATATCCTTGAGCTATATCTTGTGTTGCTTCGGATTTAGTTTTTTATCGTGCTAGCTGTAATTTTGATAGTAATTGCCTTTTCTGCAATTGTCATGATGCTCCAAGCAAGTTTTTAAAGAAAAATAGGGAAAAGGGTCAAATAGGCCCTCGAACTAACTTTAAAAGGTCAAATCCCCTGATAGGGATCTACCTATCTTAGGAATTGGGCCTAATAGATTGTTAAGAATTGGGCCTAATAGACCAAGAATATTAATAAGTGTAATAGACTAGTATAAATAGAAATAAGTTGGGAATAGTAAGGAGGCTGTTTAGACGTTTAGTCTGGGACTTGGGAAGATCGAGAACTTTCTCTTTCTTTTGGGGGGCTTCGGCTCATTGGGGGCTTCGGCCATAGTTTGTTTCTTGTTACAGATTCTTGTTCAACGATAATAAAGTTTGATTGTTTTTCTTGATACTCTTCTACACTTTCTTCTTGTATTTGTGTGATTTCTGGAGATCTCTATCATCCCCCTAATGAAGGAGGCTCTATCCGGCCGACGCCATTTGGGGCGGTTCCCGGTGGAATTTTTTGATGAAACTTTTTGAGAATCTTCTTCATTAAGTCTAGTTTATCCATACCAAATTTCAGATAAAAGTTCAACCCGGAAGGCAGTCAAATGATTTTCAAAAATTCATCAAAAAATCATTTGATGAAATTTTTGTCTGCCTTCCGGGTACTGCGCTGTTTAACTGCGCAGTTATCTTCAAAAATTCATTTGACTGCCTTCCCGATTGCATTTTTAGCTGAAATTTGGTATGAGTAAACTAGGCTTAATGAAGAAGATGCTAAAAAAGTTTCATCAAAAAATTCCACCGGGAACCGCCCCAAATGGCGTCGGTCAGACAGAGTCTCCTTCATAAGGGGTGATTTGACCTTTTTAAGTTAGTTCGAGGGCCTATTTGACCCTTTTCCCAAGAATAATATCATATAAGAGACATGGCATTACTTTGCTTCAGTGTTGTCAAAATAGCCTCCATAGTGGCACTATAAGAGACCGCGGTTGTGGATTCACCTGTAGCGCTGCAATTTGGTCATTAAAGAGGATAGCGATGGGTGCTGTGGCATATTGTGAATAAAATGTTACGTGTGTATTCAGTGTGTGCATGCACACACACACACACTTTTAATGTCAATATTGGCATTAACAAACAAGCTACTTTAACTGTAAGTTATGACCGGTCAACATGCCCTAGTGTTGATGCCCACACATATTTCTGTGCTAATTTTCATTCAATAACTCTCAGCTAGATTATTATGGCTGAATTTGCAATACGATTTGTTTCAGGTAAAGGATGTGAGCTCAATAACCTTGGAATATGCCCTGGATATGCTGCGCTATCCTGTAACTTTGGTGTGTCCAAACAGCCTTATTTTTTTTTTTTGTTTCATTCCTATCTGAATATAATGTTCACTGGATTTATAAAAATATTGGATATGTATAGGGGAAGCATCCAATTGATGGGAAAGATATAATTATGAGAGTTTCACTAGAAGGATTTAAAATCAGACATAAGCGCACGATTGCTACACTACCCAAGGTATATTTTGGCTCAAATTCTTTGTATGTGTGTTTGCATGTCTCATAAATCATTTAAGAATCAAAGTCTATTTGTGTGTATAAATGCATCACAAGTGTTGGACTAATTATTCCATGCTGAATGTCCCTTGCTAATTGTTGCTATATATGCAGATGCATTCTATTTTCTTGTTAGTATTACTCTCTCTTTCTTCTTTAGTTACTCACTTTCCTATCATGGAAGTTTGTGTTACTCTCTCCACTCTCGGCAATTGCAAATGTATCAAAAGACATAAATGCCCTTACTTCCATCTTCTCTTTCTTGCTTTTACTCATCTTTCTCTCTTAGTTATTCACTTTTTACACTATTAAGTGTCCCTACCATTTTTTACTTTCAAATTTGTAAAAAACCTATTTTTACACTATGTTGATTGTCTTTGTTTGCACATGACTCTATCAACTACTTCAACACACCGTTGTCTCATTAATTCATGGTATTTACAGGGGGGAAATTCTCAAGTAGTAGTAAAAACAATGTAAAATTCTTACGTTGTACATGACTATGTAAAAACTATTTTACTTCTATTTACACTAAGTTGATTGTCTTTGTTTGCACATGACTCTATCAACTACTTCAACACACCGTTGTCTCATTAATTCATGGTATTTTCAAGGGAAAAATTCTTAAGTAGTAGTAAAAACAATGTAAAATTCTTACGTTGTACATGACTATGTAAAAACTATTTTACTTCTACTTAGGCCAATTTCTTTATTTTCAATGCAAGTGAAGAAAACTTTGACTTTACGCATTTGGAATTCCATATCATTATTCTTTGTGGCAAAGGCCTCAGACATACAACTGTCCCTTTTTTTAATAGTCACCGTATAGTAACATTAATTGGCTCATTCGGCTTATGTTCTGAAAAAGAAGCTTTTGACTTATTTGGCTGAATTCATTTTTACACTAAAAAGGCAGCAGATTCAGCCATCACTTTAACCAAAATGGCTTATAGGATTAGCTAGTTTTAGAAAATTTATTTGCTGACACTATTATACTCATCTTCGGCAAATCTCATCATATTCTTGTCATCAATATAGTAAATTAAGGAGAATTCATTAAAACTAGCTGACACTATGAGCCCGTTTTGTTGCTGATTCTTACCTATTATCTATTAACAAAAACCAAGCATTCCAGCCCAGCTGGTTGAGGTTACCATGCCTAGTGGGAGGTCTCGAGTTCGAATCCCGCTAGACACAAGGTTGGAAACTCAATGGGCTGAGGCTCCCCCCAGCCCCCCCCCCCCCCCCAGACCCCTGTCCCCCTGGAGTAAAAAAAAATCTATTAACAAAACAGGCAACCTAGTAACTTTAACTTATGTGGTTGAAATAGATGTTATTAAACATTTCAACCATATATCCCTTCAAACGGGCTTTAAATTCCATGTCACCTATCCGAATTAGGGCTCCGAATCTGACCCGGAAATGGATGGGTAAAGAACCGGGCTAGTGGCCCATTTTTTCAGTTCAGGGTAGAAACCGCCAAACAGTTGTCAGAACCGGTCCAAACCAGGTCCTAAATAGGATGGGAACCAACTGGTTCCTTAACCCCCCCATTGTGCACATACCCGGAAGCTGAACCAGGCCAAAACAGGCACGGCCCCACCCCTAATCCCAATGCAGTTGGGATTTAGGTGGAGTTGATTATTATTGTTAAATCTATGCTCTGTATATATTGTCAGTCTGGTTTCTGTATGACTGTATACTATATAAGTTTTTGTATGTAAAAATTTTAATAAAAGTGTATACATGTGGTGATAGAGCATCAATCCGAAAGATGTAACTGTGGAAGTAGCCTTGAAGCTTTTGTCAGCAGACAATGTGAAGATACTTGGACGAAAAAAGGTCTTGGTAAAGGCAGTCGAGGAAGCTACTGAAGTCTTCATGTAGGTTGGCAATCTCACATTGCTGATTTCTATGCCAGCATATAAAAGACACTCAAGTAGCATTTTTGTAGCGGTAAAATCCATTAAATGTACCTCTTTATCTGTCAGAAATATATCATTTATTCAATTTTAATATTATTTCGAACCTGAAATTGTTGCAATGTTCATAAGTATTGTACTAGCTTCCTAGACGTGCCCGAACACTAATTTTTTATGCACACTTCTAACCTACTATAGTATATATGTCCGTCATAATGTTAACGTTCTTGATTGGGATGTGACTCGAACTTTTAAACTCTTATTTGATAGTTTTGTTTGTTATCAGACCTGACCACAAGGTATTTGACAATACTAAAATATACCACATATATCCCACTCGAATAATCTTGGTTGAAACTTGAAACCTGTTGTCATTGAAAAGAAACAAGAAAACTGATATCATATAGAAACAAGATAATGCATTTTTCAATGACATAGTCATACATTATAGATTGAAATCTCCGTTTAGCAAGTAGCTCGACTGCTCGAGGCGAGACTCGGAAGGGTTCTTATCTTCCGTCTAATAGAATCAGACTGCGGTGAGTGCGAGTAGAAAAAAGGAAAGTTGTTTATTATATTTCTCTATTTTAAGGATTTTTAGTTTATTATTATGAAAGCTTCAAGCTTAATCTGCTTAATCTTTTTAACAATTACTCTTCAGTTGTGAATTTTCAAAATTACGAGTTTATATCAATATCAATACCTTTTATATGCTGGTATTAAATTAAAAATTTTGATTAAAGAAATTGCTCAAAATAAGACTAAAACATGGGAAAAAATTGTAAAACGGACTTGACATATTTTATTCTCAAAATATGACTTATTTACTTCTATTAAAAGAATAAAACAATAAAAAAAAATCTAAAATAGAAGTGAATGGGTCTTTTATGGGAAGAAAACAATGACGCTTTTAGTTAAAAATTATAAAACAAATTAATACAAAGTGATGCTCTAGCTGAAGTGAAGTGATGTTTTCTATAAAAGTTGTTAAGGTAATTTAAGCACTCTCATTTATTGTTTAGTAAAGTTTACTTGTTACCAAAAAACTATGAACTCTTATACAATTGTACGAAGTATGTGATAGTTTCATACTTTCATCTCTCTAGTTATCTTTCATCAAATGCACCATAATTAATTATAAGTAATTTAGTTTCACAGGTAATAATTTTTTAACACAAATAAAGATTCTGTGTAAAAAGTTAAAAGCAGAACAAGTTTCTCAACATTAAACTAGAGAGAAATGAAAGAGTATGAAATCGAAGTAAGATATTACTAATTTAAACACAATAGATGAGACAATAGACACAGTTTATGTTGTTCATTCTCTTTTGCCTCTACTTAATTTATTGAAAGTCAATGGAAAGCTCGTAGTGGTCGGAGCACCAGAGAAACCATTTGAACTGCCAGTCTTTTCCTTGATTATGGGTATGAACATTTTTTGTCAGTCTTTCCCTTGATTATGGGTATGAACATTCTTCTATAAAAACAACACAGGAAAGAGAAACATAATAGGATTTGATCGTTATATGTGAGATCTTCTCACTTTAAAAGTGACAAAATTGCTATCAAATTGAAGACAAACACAATGACATATCCACAATTGTATGTGGCTTTTGGTCAGATAAAAATGAATTGTCAAACATGAAAAGTGAATTATTTAGATTTTTTGGGAAACACTTTCTTTACTCGAACAATGAGGTGTGTATGTGCATAAAGTTATCTGAATATGTAAATTCGTAATGGGTGTCAAGTGTCATATGGGTGTAAGGGTGTTATATATCGTGCTTTAATAAATGGATCACGTCCAAGTAGGAAATCATAGCATGAAATGGATCAATAAAAGGATCCATTTTAAGTTGAACATAGCATGAAATAATCTGACGATATTTGTTTAGATTATTCCATATCTAAGAATGCTACGTTTTACTTAAAAAATAGAGTTATAAACATCTATCAATTTTTTTAGTTCATTTTATACATTTGATTTTTTTTAAAGGGAAAACTGTCAAATAAGTCCTACTATATCAAAAAAGTTAATTAGATCCTCGTACTATAAAAACACGCACTCAGTTAAGTCCTCAAACTCTACAAAAAAGTTCAATTTTGCTATTTTAGAGGTCACCCACAGGTTGTCCGGTAACTTGCAAATGTGGCGACCTAGGTGCCAGCCCATGTGGTATTTACTTATATTCCTTTACTTTTTTTCTCTAGCCTTCTCTTTCCCATTCCCCTTTCCCCTCTCCCTGTTTCCTTCTTCCCCATCTGTAGCAAAGTCCATTTTACACAACTTCTCCACAACTAGTTTTCCAAGTGGCTAGGAAGAAGCTAATACCCGACGATAACGACACTTTTGGATTCAGTCGATTCCACCGGCAAGATCGAACCAGTGAAGGCCCAACGTCAGCCCCCCCTCTCCGGCGGTAATAAAGGTCGAAGAGAATCCCCCTCTCTAGAAGCAACGACGCAAAAAAGAACCAGTCCGATTCCACTACCGAGTTCCATCCGCCAATCGTTTGCACCGACGGAATCAGTTGACTACTTGACTCCACGGGTGAGATGGAATCAGTGACGGACGAAGGACAATCCAACCGCCACCGGCGGAATTAACGGCCTAAGAAAACACTCCCTTCCAGCAGAAACGATGCATAAATAAAGAAATCGAACAGGGAGAAAGGTTCAGAGCAATAAGGAAGAAAGCGGACGACGAAGAAAAAAATAAGGAATGAAGGAAAAACAAAAAAAGGGAAAAACTTATTGGCCATGGGTTGACACGTGTGCAAGTTACCGGACTACCGGATGGTTACCTCTAAAATAGCAAAATTGAACTTATTTGTAAAGTTGGAGGATTCAATTGAACGTTTTTAAAGTACGAGGACCTAATTGACTTTTTCGACATAGTAGAAGGACTTATTTGACAGTTTTCACTTTTTAAAATCATTTATTGAAATATGACTTGATGTTGTTAAACAATATTTAGAGTTATAAAAGTTTAATTTTGCATGTGATATGCAAATAGAGTATTTTGAATAATACTCTATTTGTTTCAATAAATACTTCCCGGTTTGGCACTTATTAAGAAAAATAAGAATAAAGTGAAAATGTATGATTAAAAGAAATACTTCCCGGTTTGGCACTTATTAAGAAACACAAAACTATACAAAAAATAAATTAAAAGAATTTTGTAAAAACGTGACAACTTTAGTTGACCAAATTAAAGACCCAACTTGAACCAAATTAAAGACCCAAATTAAAGACCCAACTTGAAGCAAATTAAAGACAAAGACCCAAAATCTCTTTGTCTCACACCGAAAAAGAGAAAGAATTATTCCTTTAAATTGAACTCCATCAGTTTTTTACATTGGACTTTTGAATGTTAGTATGAAAAATTAATTACTTCAAATAATTGGAATTTTGAATATTAATCTGAAAAGTTAATTAAATCAATTCATGGGGCTTTTGGATATTGGACTGAAAAATTAATTAGTTGAATTCATTGGACTTTTGAATATTACATAAACAGTTAATAAGTTCAATTCATTGTGCTTGGTGAGTGAAATTTAATTAGCTTATTTTTTTACATAGAGAAATAGACTATAGAGTCAAAAGAAAATTGGTTTTGGAGAAATTGACTTGAAAATTGGTATTGAATATTTCAGTAAGCGAGCAAATTCTGATTCGGTATCTATGACTTTTAAGATCATTAAATTATCGGTTCTGTAATATTTATTTTTTTCATTGACATTTCTATAATATTATTTAACTATATTTTTCCATTTTGACATTTTTTGTAATTTAACTTCTTTAATTAAATTTTTGCCCCACCTGAGTTCAAATGCTAGATCCGCCCCTGAGTGTATACCCAACCCTATCCACTCCATCCATACATAAGATATTTAAGATTTATCCCCAATCGGCCCAAAAACCGTTCCACAAGTTTTAAAAAACTTGGTATGGTTAACGGAACAAACCATCAGTTTATTGGTCATTTATTACGATTAATTGGTTACAATTTTTCGTGCCCACGCCTAAACAATGTAATAGGTGGCAGTGCAGCACGTAAGTTTAACAGACTCTAACACATAAATTGACCGCGAAAAAACACAAATTTACACATGCTCTAATCAGAAATCAGAGAGTATTACACTACTACCATAATTAAATGCTGCAGATGAGCAAAGCGTTTCATCAATGAACACAGGCTTAATTTGCACAAAACGCATTAAACTCGGGCGCATGTACATAAATATTTTTTGAATAATCCTTATTATTAAAATAGACAAAACTGATAAAGGATTTCTGGAATAGGGGTCACCCTAGAAGAAAATCAAAAGGGAAAACTATCAAACCATCGAACCATCAAACTCATTTTAAAGTGTCAAATTGCCTTTTTAGCCGGTAATGAATGGCATAGGCTAAGCGGTTATTGTGTATACGTGGCAGTTTTCAATTTTTTCCATTTTCTTATAAGATGTTTTCACTTAGATTGTTTTCAAAGCGAGACCAGATTACAATAGTTATAAAATACACAAAGAACAGGCACTTGCCCGTTCAAAACAGCAATTTCAGCCCAATTAAACGCATTCTTACTTTTATCTTTCTTTTTTCCTTCTCCTCACGACCTCACCCATTCCACTTCACCTTCTTCACCCCTTCTTCCATCCACCCTTTCTTCTTCTCACACCCACAGATAGGGGTGGACCAGACCCGGGTCGGGACCGGGTGTTTTATTTTTTTTATTTTCCTTGTTTGTTCCTACCCACCCCCCACCCCCAAACCACCCAGCCCAAGCCACCTACCCCCAGTGGAGGACCTAAGGGGGGCTAGGTGGGGCACGTGCCCCCGCTTCGAGCCCGGAATTTCACTAGTAGTACTTAGGATAAAAACGAGTGCCCCGACTTCATACCAGTATTTGATGATTAAGATACTAAAATGTTACGGTTATATAAATAAAAAATTAATACTTCCTCCGTTCTCTAATAGATGAGAGTATAACTTTTGGCACAAGTTTTAAGAGAGAATTAATAGGGATAAGATAAAAGGTTTAGGATGTTTTCTTTTGGACTGAAATTTGCTGGTCTGGTCTGGTCTAGTCTGAATTGGTCTGGTCTAGTAAACGTCTGGTCTCTGTGTAATTTATAACTACGAAAGTCAAGTCTGGTCTGGTCTGATCCGGGACTGAAAACAGTCCAAAAAAAAACATCCTTAGTTGGTTGTGTGTAAAGGAAAAACTAGGAAAGAGAATGAAAAAGTAGGAAAGAGAATGAGGGATATAGGTATATTTATTG